CATTTTACAACATGTATGACATTTATCAACATATATGACATTTTACATGTGTGACATTTATCACATGTATGACATTTATCAACATGTGTGACATTTATCACATGTATGACATTTATCAACATATGACATTTATCAACATGTATGACATTTATCAACATATATGACATTTTACATGTGTGACATTTATCACATGTATGACATTTATCAACATGTGTGACATTTATCACATGTATGACATTTATCAACATATGACATTTATCAACATGTATGACATTTATCAACATATATGACATTTTACAACATGTGTGACATTTATCAACATGTGTGACATTTAACAACATGTGTGACATTTATTAACATGTATTTCATATGTTCTTTGGGGTTTGCGTGTTCTTTGGGGTCACGCGTTCTTTGGGGTCACATGTTCTTTGGGGTCACGTGTTCTTTGGGGTCAAGTGTTCTTAGGGGTCACATGTTGGGGGCAGTATGAACTCATAGGCAGCGACTCCACAGGCTGATCAGGAAATGTGTCTCTGTGATGGGGAGAAGTGTGGACTCTGTGGGAGCTGTGCTCTACTGCAAGACATCCTGGGTAACTCCAGACTCCCGCTGCATGACTCCCTCTGCATGACTCCCTCTGCATGACACTTCTGTATGACACCTCTGCATGACTCCCTCTGCATGACTCCCTCTGCATGACTCCCTCTGCATGACTCCCTCTGCATGACTCCCTCTGCATGACTCCCTCTGCATGACACTTCTGTATGACACCTCTGCATGACTCCCTCTGCATGACACCCTCTGCATGACTCCCTCTGCATGACTCCCTCTGCATGACACCCTCTGTATGACTCCCTCTGCATGACATGACACCCATCTGCATGACTCACCTCTGCATGACTCCCTCTGCATGATGACTCCCTCTGCATGACACCTCTGCATGACTCCCTCTGCATGACTCCCTCTGCATGACTCCCTCTGCATGACACCTCTGCATGACTCCCTCTGCATGACTCCCTCTCTGCATGACTCCCTCTGCATGACTCCCTCTGCATGACACCCTCTGCATGACTCCCTCTGCATGACACCCTCTGCATGACTCCCTCTGCATGACTCCCTCTGCATGACTCCCTCTGCATGACACCCTCTGCATGACACCCTCTGCATGACACCCTCTGCATGACTCCCTCTGCATGACACCTCAGCATGACTCCCTCTGCATGACTCCCTCTGCATGACTCCCTCTGCATGACTCCCTCTGCATGACTCCCTCTGCATGACTCCCTCTGTGCATGACACCTGAATGTCTCCTACGGAGGATCAATCTATCTATCTATCTGTGGCATCTGGTGTTCCCATAGGTCTCCCATCACAGCACTAACCAGGCGTTGCCCTGCTTAGCTTCAGAGGTCTGAGGGGATAACATACAATCCTTCAAATGCAAAACAGAACAGTTTTTAACCTCCTGCTGGGACTCTGAGGAGCACAGGGACTGGACTCCTGCTGGGACTCTGAGGAGCACAGGGACTGGCCTCCTGCTGGGACTCTGAGGAGCACAGGGACTGGCCTCCTGCTGGGACTCTGAGGAGCACAGGGACTGGCCTCCAGCTGTGACTCTGAGGAGCACAGGGACTGGCCTCCTGCTGAGACTCTGAGGAGCACAGGGACTGGCCTCCTGCTGGGACTCTGAGGAGCACAGGGACTGGCCTCCTGCTGGGACTCTGAGGAGCACAGGGACTGGCCTCCTGCTGGGACTCTGAGGAGCACAGGGACTTAGCTGTGAACAGGGATTGTGCTCAGGTTGCCTTGCGTACGAGTTGTGCCATACAAATATACTTGCAGATCTACAGATGTTACAGCGGCCACGGACACGTTCATGTTAATGATGTTAGAGTTAACACATTAATGTTCTTCTGATTTAAAAGAATGTAGCGAAAAGTCTAACCTGAATGACAGCGTTCCGTGCAGCAGCAGCAATATTAAAAAAATAACCGTATTTTCTGTTACTGCGAAACTAATGAGTGATGATGCAACGGCTCAAAACTTCAACCGCTGCCGTCGGTCCTCAAAGTGTTTTTTCTAGTTTTTACTGAGGCAGTAAAAATAAATTCTTTGGCAGTGATTTTACAAAAGTCAAAAAAGAAGAAAAAAAGCCACACAAAAATATAAATAAATAAACCAATCCATGAGGCTTCCGTAGAGGCGGCCATTCCACTCTACAAAAACAGGGGTCATGGTACAATTGTTATGTTTTAGCCTATTTCTGTGGATCTTTGCCCCTGTCCCCACACATGATAACTATGTGTGACACCAGCAGTGTAACAGTCTGTCTGTAATATGCTCGTTTCCATAAACATCAACCGCACACAGTGGTACGGTCCAAACGCAGACAGAGCCGCGGAGCTGTGACAGCGGACAAACTACACTTTATTACTACTCTATTCCACACTTCAGGTACGTGGCTCCTCAGGGCACACGACTGGCCCCAAACACAGCTCTGCTTTCACACACCACGTCCACAGCTGTTGTCATCGCCCCTGCCCTGACTGCACACAAGAAGAGCATGTTGCTGAGCTATCGTTAGCCCCAAGCTAACAGTGCAAATGAATAGGAGAGCTAGCTTGCTAGCCTGCTCAGCTCGTTAGCCACACAGCCTATTTTAGGACTGGCATTCCGCTGATAAATGTACAGGTTTACATCAGTAGCTGCACAGCAGGAGGAGTGGTGACGCTGTCTGTGTGTGTCTGTGTAGTTCTTGAAACGTGTGGAGTTAGTGTGAATGAGACAAAGTCAGTGTTGCAATGTTTACTGGAGACAGCTGCTGGAAGTCAGGCCCGAGGAATATCTCACATATCTCTGTGAGGAAGAGGATCTCTCATCTCTGTGAGGAAGAGGATCTCTCATCTCTGTGAGGAAGAGGATCTCTCATCTCTGTGATGAAGAGGATCTCTCATCTCTGTGAGGAAGAGGATCTCTCATCTCTGTGATGAAGAGGATCTCTCATCTCTGTGAGGAAGAGGATCTCTCATCTCTGTGAGGAAGAGGATCTCTCATCTCTGTGAGGAAGAGGATCTCTCATCTCTGTGAGGAAGAGGATCTCTCATCTCTGTGAGGAAGAGGATCTCTCATCTCTGTGAGGAAGAGGATCTCTCATCTCTGTGAGGAAGAGGATCTCTCATCTCTGTGAGGAAGAGGATCTCTCATCTCTGTGAGGAAGAGGATCTCTCATCTCTGTGAGGAAGAGGATCTCTCATCTCTGTGAGGAAGAGGATCTCTCATCTCTGTGAGGAAGAGGATCTCTCATCTCTGTGAGGAAGAGGATCTCTCATCTCTGTGAGGAAGAGGATCTCTCATCTCTGTGAGGAAGAGGATCTCTCATCTCTGTGAGGAAGAGGATCTCTCATCTCTGTGATGAAGAGGATCTCTCATCTCTGTGAGGAAGAGGATCTCTCATCTCTGTGAGGAAGAGGATCTCTCATCTCTGTGAGGAAGAGGATCTCTCATCTCTGTGAGGAAGAGGATCTCTCATCTCTGTGAGGAAGAGGATCTCTCATCTCTGTGAGGAAGAGGATCTCTCATCTCTGTGAGGAAGAGGATCTCTCATCTCTGTGAGGAAGAGGATCTCTCATCTCTGTGATGAAGAGGAGAGGTGCTTTTGTCATAAAGAAGCATGTCCTGAACATATAAAGCAATGTTCCCATTTTCATCCTTATGTAGTGCAGGGAGGGTTATAATGCTTTTGCTGGAGGGCCAGTTTATTTGTATAGCACAATCCTAACAACACCTCACAGGTGTTTAACCCTGTGGTCACAGGTGTCTAACCCTATGGTCACAGGTGTCTAACCCTGTGGTCACAGGTGTCTAACCCTATGGTCACAGGTGTCTAACCCTATGGTCACAGGTGTCTAACCCTGTGGTCACAGGTGTCTAACCCTATGGTCACAGGTGTGACCCTATGGTCACAGGTGTCTAACCCTGTGGTCACAGGTGTCTAACCCTGTGGTCATAGGTGTCTAACCCTATGGTCACAGGTGTCTAACCCTGTGGTCACAGGTGTCTAACCCTGTGGTCATAGGTGTCTAACCCTATGGTCACAGGTGTCTAACCCTGTGGTCATAGGTGTCTAACCCTATGGTCACAGGTGTCTAACCCTGTGGTCACAGGTGTCTAACCCTGTGGTCACAGGTGTCTAACCCTATGGTCTCGCCCACAGGTGTCTAACCCTATGGTCACAGGTGTGACCCTATGGTCACAGGTGTCTGACCCTATGGTCACAGGTGTCTAACCCTGTGGTCACAGGTGTCTAACCCTATGGTCACAGGTGTCTAACCCTGTGGTCACAGGTGTCTAACCCTGTGGTCACAGGTGTCTAACCCTGTGGTCATAGGTGTCTAACCCTATGGTCACAGGTGTCTAACCCTGTGGTCATAGGTGTCTAACCCTATGGTCACAGGTGTCTAACCCTGTGGTCACAGGTGTCTAACCCTGTGGTCACAGGTGTCTAACCCTATGGTCTCGCCCACAGGTGTCTAACCCTATGGTCACAGGTGTGACCCTATGGTCACAGGTGTCTGACCCTATGGTCACAGGTGTCTAACCCTGTGGTCACAGGTGTCTAACCCTATGGTCACAGGTGTGACCCTATGGTCACAGGTGTCTGACCCTATGGTCACAGGTGTCTAACCCTGTGGTCACAGGTGTCTAACCCTATGGTCACAGGTGTGACCCTATGGTCACAGGTGTCTAACCCTATGGTCACAGGTGTCTAACCCTGTGGTCTCAGGTGTCTAACCCTGTGGTTACAGGTGTCTAACCCTGTGGTCTCAGGTGTCTAACCCTATGGTCACAGGTGTCTAACCCTGTGGTCTCAGGTGTCTAACCCTATGGTCTCGCCCACAGGTGTCTGACCCTGTGGTCTCAGGAGGATGTCTCTGAAGCCACGGGTGGTGGATTTTGAGGAGACCTGGAACAAGCTCCTGACGACCATCAAAGCTGTGGTGATGCTGGACTATGTGGAGAGAGCCACATGGAACGACCGCTTCTCGTATCTTTTTCTACTGTTGCTTTGAAACAACGCCATATTTTTCACATGCAGGGAAATGGATACAGGTGCAAAGTGTTGTGATGTGACTCTATGATGTCTGCTGTGACTCTATGATGTCTGCTGTGACTCTCTGCTGTCTGATGTGTCTCTATGCTGTCTGCTGTGTCTCTATGATGTCTGTCTGCTGTGACTCTATGATGTCTGTCTGCTTTAACTCTATGATGTCTGTCTGCTGTGACTCTATGATGTCTGTCTGCTTTGACTCTATGATGTCTGCTGTGACTCTATGATGTCTGTCTGCTGTGACTCTATGATGTCTGTCTGCTGTGACTCTATGATGTCTGTCTGCTTTGACTCTATGATGTCTGTCTGCTGTGACTCTATGTCTGTCTGCTGTGACTCTATGATGTCTGTCTGCTTTGACTCTATGATGTCTGCTGTGACTCTATGATGTCTGTCTGCTGTGACTCTATGATGTCTGTCTGCTGTGACTCTATGATGTCTGTCTGCTTTGACTCTATGATGTCTGTCTGCTGTGACTCTATGTCTGTCTGCTGTGACTCTATGATGTCTGTCTGCTTTGACTCTATGATGTCTGCTGTGACTCTATGATGTCTGTCTGCTGTGACTCTATGATGTCTGTCTGCTGTGACTATGATGTCTGTCTGCTGTGACTCTATGATGTCTGTCTGCTTTGACTCTATGATGTCTGCTGTGACTCTATGATGTCTGTCTGCTGTGACTCTATGATGTCTGTCTGCTGTGACTATGATGTCTGTCTGCTGTGACTCTATGATGTCTGTCTGCTTTGACTCTATGATGTCTGCTGTGACTCTATGATGTCTGTCTGCTTTGACTCTATGATGTCTGCTGTGACTCTATGATGTCTGTCTGCTGTGACTATGATGTCTGTCTGCTGTGACTATGATGTCTGTCTGCTTTGACTCTATGATGTCTGCTGTGACTCTATGATGTCTGTCTGCTGTGACTCTATGATGTCTGTCTGCTTTGACTCTATGATGTCTGCTGTGACTCTATGATGTCTGTCTGCTTTGACTCTATGATGTCTGTAATAATAATGTATTAATGATATTGAACTAAATATCATAATACTATGGAGAGCTCATGTTTGTGCCAGTCCCCAGCCCTGTTCCATCTATTCTTAACCAGATCACAGTGATATTTATGCCTTATGTGTGGCATACCCAGAGCCTCTGGGGGAGAGACTTTATACAGAGACCAAGGTCTTTCTGGAAAACCATGTTCGACAGTTGTACAAGGTAAGACTGCACACACACACATTATGGGATGGGACGGGACGGGACGGGACGGGACGGATGTATGTTCTGATGGTTTTAACTGCAGCAGATAGTCTTGACCATGTCTATGCCTAAATGCATTGAGTGTCTGCCATATGATTGGCTGATTAGGAATTTGCATCATTAAAGTGGAGTTGGATAAGTGTACCTATGATAGGCTGTACCTATGATCAGGCGTACCTATGATCAGCTGCACCTATGATAGGCGTACCTATGATAGGCGTACGTCATAAAGTGGCCGGTGAGTGTATATGTATAACAGAGGTTAGCATGAGGCTGCAGTGTCTGCTCTGTCTCCCACAGAAAGTCCTGGAGTCTGAGGAGAAGGTTCTGGTCATGTACCACAGGTACTGGGAGGAGTACAGCAAAGGAGCAGACTACATGGACTGTTTATATCGGTGAGTGTTCCAAGTGTTCACACTGTGTGAACACTTGCTGCTGTTATTTAAAGTCTGGTGTGAACACCTGCTGCTATATGAAGTCTGGTGTAAACACCTGCTGCTATATGAAGTCTGGTGTGAACACCTGCTGCTGTTATTTAAAGTCTGGTGTGAACACCTGCTGCTATATGAAGTCTGGTGTGAACACCTGCTGCTGTTATTTAAAGTCTGGTGTGAACACCTGCTGCTATATGAAGTCTGGTGTGAACACCTGCTGCTGTTATATAAAGTCTGGTGTGAACACCTGCTGCTATATGAAGTCTGGTGTGAACACCTGCTGCTATATGAAGTCTGGTGTGTACACCTGCTGCTGTTATATAAAGTCTGGTGTGAACACCTGCTGTTATATAAAGTCTGGTGTGAACACCTGCTGCTATATGAAGTCTGGTGTGAACACCTGCTGCTGTTATATAAAGTCTGGTGTGAACACCTGCTGTTATATAAAGTCTCAGACACAGAGACGCTGCAGTCGTGGAGAAGAACTTTACACAAAAAGCCGCTACCTTAACCCAGTTAGCATCAATGCCCACCACTTCTTTTCGGTTTGGTTCATGGTCTGTCTGGTTCTCCTCACATGGTTATGTTTCTGGTTCTCCTCACATGGTTCTGGTTCTCCTCACATGGTTCTGGTTTTCCTCACATTGTCCATGGTTCTGTGTACAGGTATCTCAACACTCAGTTCATCAAGAAGAACAAATTGACAGAAGCAGACATTCAGTACGGATACGGAGGAGTGGACCTGAACGAGCCCCTCATGGAGATCGGAGAGGTATTTAAACCACTGCAGATTAATATAAACCACTGCAGATTAACCATGTTTAAACCACTGTAGATTAACATAAACCACTGCAGATTAACCATGTTTAAACCACTGCACATCAACATAGACCACTGCACATTAACAGAAACCACTGCAGATTAACCATGTTTAAACCACTGCAGATGAACATAAACCACTGCAGATTAACCATGTTTAAACCACTGCAGATTAACATAAACCACTGCAGATTAACCATGTTTAAACCACTGCACATCAACATAGACCACTGCACATTAACAGAAACCACTGCAGATTAACCATGTTTAAACCACTGCAGATTAACATAAACCACTGCAGATTAACCATGTTTAAACCACTGCAGATGAACATAAACCACTGCAGATTAACCATGTTTAAACCACTGCAGATGAACATAAACCACTGCAGATTAACAATGTTTAAACTAGTATAGATTAAGACAAACGTGTGCAGATTTACAAATGTGTGCAGATACAAACATTTGCAGATTCACATAAACGTGTGCAGATTCACATAAACGTGTGCAGATTCATATAAACGTTTGCAGATTCACATAAACATGTGCAGATTCACATAAACACGTGCAGATTCACATAAACACGTGCAGATTCACATAAACGTGTGCAGATTCACATAAACATGTGCAGATTCACATAAACACGTGCAGATTCACATAAACATGTGCAGATTCACATAAACATTTGCAGATTCACATAAGTTTAAGTTTAAGTTTATTAAGGAAAGCCCCTTGAGATGAATCATCTCATTTTCGAGGGGGTCCTAAACATAAATACAAACATATAAACAAACACACATACACAAAAAGCATTTTACAGCGAATTAAAGATGAGAAAAGTTAATTAAACACACACAAAGACAAACAAAACAAACAACAACAAAATATAACAAAACAAATGCTCCATCGCACCCCACTCCTCCCCTCTGCTGAAATTAAACATATAGGAAAGAAAAAAATAAATAAAAAAATAAAGTACAACTATTAACAATAATGACACAGAACATTAGTGACATAAACAAGTTGTTTCAAGAAACCTAAATAATTCAAACTTAAATAAACCAACAGACAGAATCAGAATCAGAATCATTTTTATTGCCAACGTAAGTAACAGGAGGTCACAGACTTGGAAATTGCTTTGGCTCAGTGCAACAGTCAGAGAGAGATAATAAAAATAAGAATAAAAAACACTTCTAAAGAATAAATTTAAATTTAAAATAGAGTTACAGTTACTATTTACAATATACAAGTGCACATGGTGCACACAATGTAAGGTGACAGCAGTACAGTGAAGTAAAGTGACGTATGATGGGCAGTAAAGTGACTTTATAAAGGGCGGGGGGACAGGTTACGAAGTGTTCAAGAGTCCAACAGCAGAGGGGAAGAAACTGTTCTTGTGGCGGGAGGTTCTAGTCCTGATGGACCGCAGCCTCCTGCCTGAGGGGAGTGGTTGGAATAGTCCATGTGCAGGTGAGAGGGGAGTGGTTGGAATAGTCCATGTGCAGGTGAGAGGGGAGTGGTTGGAATAGTCCATGTGCAGGTGAGAGGGGAGTGGTTGGAATAGTCCATGTGCAGGTGAGAGGGGAGTGGTTGGAATAGTCCATGTGCAGGTGAGAGGGGAGTGGTTGGAATAGTCCATGTGCAGGTGAGAGGGGAGTGGTTGGAATAGTCCATGTGCAGGGTGAGAGGGGAGTGGTTGGAATAGTCCATGTGCAGGTGAGAGGGGAGTGGTTGGAATAGTCCATGTGCAGGTGAGAGGGGTCGGCTGTGATACGACCAGCCCGGCCTCGAGCTCGGGCGACGTACAGGTCCTGCAGCGATGGAAGGCTGCGGCCGATCACTTCCTCTGCAGAGCGCACAATGCGCTGTAGTCTCTGTTTGTCCCTGACTGTGGCTCCAGCGAACCACACGGTGATGGAGGAGGTGAGGATGGACTCGATGATGGCCGTGTAGAACTGCACCAACATCTGTGCAGGCAGCTTGGCTTTCCTGAGCTGCCGCAGGAAGTACATCCTCTGCTGGGCCTTCTTGATGAGGGAGCTGATGGTCGGCTCCCACTTGAGGTCCTGGGTGATGGTGGTGCCCAGGAAACGGAAGGACTCCACAGAGGTGATGGGGGAGTCCATCACGGAGGGTGGGGGTGGGGGGACAGTGCTCTTCCTGAAGTCCACAATCATCTCCACTGTCTTCTGGGCGTTCAGCTCCAGGTTGTTACCACTGAACCAGGACACCAGCCGGTCCACCTCCCTCCTGTAGGCGGACTCATCGTTGTTGGAGATGAGTCCAATGAGGGTGGTGTCGTCCGCGAACTTGATCAGCTTCACGGAGTCGTGGCTGGAGGTGCAGTGGTTGGTGTACAGGGAGAAGAGCAGGGGAGAAAGAACACAGCCCTGTGGGGCTCCTGTATTTATAATCCGAGAGTCCGAGACATTCTTCCCCAGACGCACTCGCTGCTTACTGTCCGTCAGGAAGTCAGTGATCCACCTGCAGGTGGAATCGGGCACGTTGAGCTGGGAGAGCTTGTCCTGGAGCAGGGATGGCAGGATTGTGTTGAAGGCAGAGCTGAAGTCCACGAACAGGACCCTGGCGTAGGTCCCCGGGGAGTCCAGGTGCTGTAGGATGTGGTGGAGGGCCAGGTTAATGGCGTCGTCTACAGATCTGTTGGCTCTGTAGGCGAACTGCAGGGGGTCCAGGAGGGGGGAGGTGAGGGACTTGAGATGGGAGAGAACCAGGCGTTCAAAAGACTTCATGACGACAGACGTAAGTGCTACAGGTCTGTAGTCGTTGAGTCCTGTGATCCTGGGCTTCTTCGGGACGGGGACAATGATGGAGGATTTGAAGCAGGCCGGGACATGGCAGGACTGCAGAGAGGTGTTGAAAATGTCCGTGAACACAGGAGTAAGCTCACTGGCGCAGTGTCTCCGAGTGGCCGGAGACACGTGGTCCGGGCCAGGAGCTTTGCGGGGGTGCAGCCTCAAGAAGAGTTGTTTAATCTCTTTAGCGGCTATTGTTAGGCTGGGGGCAGGGCTGATGGGTGGGTCGTTAGAGTAGTGGGGGGTGGGGGAGGGAGAGGTGTCAGGGGCAGCATCAAAGCGACTGAAAAATAAGTTCAGATCGTCAGCTAGCTTGTGGTCATCAGCACAGGGGGGGGCTTTGGGTTTGTAGTTGGTGATCTCCCGTAGGCCCCTCCAGACAGAAGCAGTATCGTTGTTACCAAACTGCTCCTGTAGTCGTTCTCTGTGCCGGGACTTGGCTGCTTTCAGTTCTTTCCTGAACTGATATTTAGCTGCTTTGTAGCCGCTGCGGTCCCCCTCCCTGAAAGCAGACTCCTTTGCTTTCCTGAGCTGCCGGAGTTTAGCAGTGAACCAGGGTTTGTCGTTGTTATAGATGACCCTGGTCCTTGTTGGAATGATGCTATCCTCACAGAAGTGAATGTATGACGTCACAGTGTCCGTGTATTCATCCAAACTGTCTGTGGCAGCTCTGAAAAGGTCCCAGTCTGTAGATTCCATGCATGCAGCTCTTCCACAGCTTCATCAGACCACACTTTGGAGCTCCTCACTGCAGGTTTCGAGAGCTTTAGTCTCTGTCTGTAAGCAGGAACCAGATGTATCATGGAGTGATCTGAGAAGCCGAGGGCTGGCTTGGGAACAGCGCGAAAAGCTCCGCGCACGGTGGTGTAACAGTGATCCAGAGTGTTCTCCTCTCTGGTCGGGCATTTGATAAACTGTCTGTATTTGGGTCATTCCTGGCTCAAGTTTCCCTTATTAAAATCCCCCAGGATAATAATCAGAGAGTCCGGGTATAAGCGTTCCATACACAGTACTTGCTCTGCGTCCGCGCATGGCGGTATGTAAACAGAGGCAAGAATGAATGAAACAATTTCCCGCGGGGAGTAATATGGTTTACAATGAATGAAAAGATATTCCAGAGCAGGAGAGCAGTGCTTGGAGATCACTGTCACATCGTTACACCAGTTTGTATTGACGTAGAAACACAGCCCACCGCCTCTGCTCTTCCCTGAGAGCGCACAATGGCGATCCGTGCGGAACAGCCCAAAGCCCTGCAGCTCCAGAGCACAGTCCGGGATCCGCTCATTTAGCCAGGTCTCAGTGAAGCAGAGGACACAGGATGTGGCGAAGTCCTTGTTTCTTCTCATGAGCAGGCTGAGTTCGTCCATCTTATTGCCCAGTGAGCGTACGTTGGAGAGAAAAATGCCGGGGAGAGCCGTGCGCGCTCCTCTCCTCCTAAGACGCACGAGCAGGCCTCCGCGCTTTCCCCTTTTACGGGCCCACACTTTTTTGGCTAGAACATGAACTAAATCAGCCGCAGATGCCAAGAAAACAGGCAATAGGTCCATGGGAACGGTGGGTCGGATGTTCATAAGTTCCTCACGGGTGTAGGAACAGCCAGATGCACAGTTAAAAAGTAAAAACAAAAGAAAAAGAGAGCAGCAAAGAGCCATGTCGACCGTACGAGGCGCCATCTTGTATAGAATGGATCTTATGGATGTGGGGAGTTTATTCCAGTCTGATGGAGCCTTATATTGAAATGATCTGCGTCCAACTTCTTTAAAAACTCTTGGAACAGAAAAGGTGAGACAATCAAAGCTTTGGAGTGAAAAAGGTGTAGAGAAGGGGACAAAAACTGTTTTAAATACTGCGGACAACTAAAATGAATACATTTAAATAATAAGTGCATCCAGTGAAGGTGACGTCTGTTGTGAGGTTGAAGCCAGTGAAGGGTCTCGTACAGAGTGCAGTGATGTGTGTGATATGGACATTTAAGGATGAATCTACAAAGACAGTTAAAAAGTGTATTGAGTGGTTTGAGATGGGTGTGAAATGTGTTTTGATAAATGACGTCAGCGTAATCGTTGATGGGGAGAACCAGTTGTGTAATGATGCGTTTTCTGACATTGAAGGTAAAGCAGTGGGATGATCAGAATAATGGGCCCATTGTGGCGTAAGTTCTTTAGATGATGGAGTTGATGTGGTGTTCAACATGTGCAGATTCACATAAACATGTGCAGATTCACATAAACATGTGCAGATTCACATAAACGTGTGCAGATTCCCATAAACATGTGCAGATTCCCATAAACATGTGCAGATTCACATAAACATTTGCAGATTCACATAAACATGTGCAGATTCACATAAACATTTGCAGATTCACATAAACGTGTGCAGATTCACATAAACATGTGCAGATTCACATAAACACGTGCAGATTCACATAAACATGTGCAGATTCACATAAACATGTGCAGATTCCCATAAACATGTGCAGATTCACATAAACATTTGCAGATTCACATAAACATGTGCAGATTCCCATAAACATGTGCAGATTCCCATAAACATGTGCAGATTCACATAAACATGTGCAGATTCACATAAACATGTGCAGATTCACATAAACATGTGCAGATTCACATAAACACGTGCAGATTCACATAAACACGTGCAGATTCACATAAACATGTGCAGATTCACATAAACATGTGCAGATTCCCATAAACATGTGCAGATTCCCATAAACATGTGCAGATTCCCATAAACATGTGCAGATTCCCATAAACATGTGCAGATTCACATAAACATTTGCAGATTCACATAAACATGTGCAGATTCACATAAACATGTGCAGATTCACATAAACACGTGCAGATTCACATAAACACGTGCAGATTCACATAAACATGTGCAGATTCACATAAACATGTGCAGATTCACATAAACATGTGCAGATTCCCATAAACATGTGCAGATTCACATAAACATTTGCAGATTCACATAAACATGTGCAGATTCACATAAACATTTGCAGATTCCCATAAACATGTGCAGATTCCCATAAACATGTGCAGATTCACATAAACATTTGCAGATTCACATAAACATGTGCAGATTCACATAAACATTTGCAGATTCACATAAACGTGTGCAGATTCACATAAACGTGTGCAGATTCACATAAACGTGTGCAGATTCACATAAACGTGTGCAGATTCACATAAACGTGTGCAGATTCACATAAACGTTTGCAGATTCACATAAACGTGTGCAGATTCACATAAACGTTTGCAGATTCACATAAACGTGTGCAGATTCACATAAACGTGTGCAGATTCACATAAACGTGTGCAGATTCACATAAACATTTGCAGATTCACATAAACGTGTGCAGATTCACATAAACGTGTGCAGATTCACATAAACATGTGCAGATTCACAAACGTTTGCAGATTCACATAAACATGTGCAGATTCCCATAAACATTTGCAGATTCCCATAAACGTGTGCAGATTCACATAAACGTTTGCAGATTCACATAAACGTGTGCAGATTCACATAAACGTGTGCAGATTCACAAACGTTTGCAGATTCACATAAACGTGTGCAGATTCACATAAACGTGTGCAGATTCACATAAACGTGTGCAGATTCACAAACGTTTGCAGATTCACATAAACGTGTGCAGATTCACATAAACGTGTGCAGATTCACATAAACGTGTGCAGATTCATATGGCTGTTTCTTGCAGCTGGCCCTCGACATGTGGAGGAAGCTGATGATCGAACCTCTTCAAGACGTCGTCATCAGAAAATTACTGAATGAAATCAAGAAGTTAGTTTTATCTTTGATACTGATGAGACTGATGCTGATGAGACTGATGCTGATGCTGATGAGACTGATGCTGATGAGACTGATGCTGATGCTGATGATACTGAGACTGATGCTGATGAGACTGATGCTGATGAGGCTGATGAGACTGATGCTGATGAGACTGATGCTGATGAGACTAATACTGATGAGACTGATACTGATGAGACTAATACTGATGAGACTGATGCTGATGAGACTGAGGCTGATGAGACTGATGCTGGTGAGACTGATGCTGATGAGACTGATGCTGATGAGACTGATGCTGATGAGACTGATGCTGATGAGACTGGGGCTGATGAGACTGATACTGATGAGACTGATGCTGATGAGACTGATGCTGATGAGACTGATGCTTATGAGACTGATGCTGATGACTGATGCTGATGAGACTGATGCTGATGAGACTGATGCTGATGAGACTGATACTGATGATGCTGATGAGACTGCTGCTGATGAGACTGCTGCTGATGAGACTGAGACTGATGCTGATGAGACTGATACTGATGATGCTGATGAGACTGATGCTGATGCTGATGAGACTGATGCTGATGAGACTGATGCTGATGATACTGAGACTGATGCTGATGAGGCTGATGAGACTGATGCTGATGAGACTGATGCTGATGAGACTGATGCTGATGAGACTAATACTGATGAGACTGATACTGATGAGACTGATACTGATGAGACTAATACTGATGAGACTGATGCTGATGAGACTGAGGCTGATGAGACTGATGCTGGTGAGACTGATGCTGATGAGACTGATGCTGATGAGACTGATGCTGATGAGACTGATGCTGATGAGACTGGGGCTGATGAGACTGATACTGATGAGACTGATGCTGATGAGACTGATGCTGATGAGACTGATGCTTATGAGACTGATACTGATGATGCTGATGAGACTGATGCTGATGAGACTGAGGCTGATGAGACTGATGCTGGTGAGACTGATGCTGATGAGACTGATGCTGATGAGACTGATGCTGATGAGACTGATGCTGATGAGACTGGGGCTGATGAGACTGATGCTGATGAGACTGATGCTGATGAGACTGATGCTGATGAGACTGATGCTGATGAGACTGATGCTGATGAGACTGATACTGATGATGCTGATGAGACTGCTGCTGATGAGACTGCTGCTGATGAGACTGATGCTGATGAGACTGATGCTGATGAGACTGATACTGATGATGCTGATGAGACTGATGCTGATGAGACTGATGCTGATGAGACTGATGCTGATGAGACTGATGCTGATGAGACTGATTATGCTGATGAGACTGATGCTGATGAGACTGATACTAATGTGACTGATGCTGATGATCCCTGTTTCTCAGTGATCGTTGTGGGGAGAACCCGAACCAGAAGGTGATCCACGGCGTCATCAACTCTTTTGTTCATGTTGAACAGTACAAGAAGAAGTTTCCACTAAAGGTACGCAGTACCTGTGATCCGACACCAGTACCTGTGATCCGACCTCAAAACATGGGCTGATTCTGCTTCTCTCTCCACAGTTTTACCAAGAAATATTCGAGGGACCATTTCTGATAAAAACAGGAGAGTATTACAAGCAAGAAGCCTCAAATCTGCTTCAAGAATCCAACTGTTCGCAGTATATGGAGAAGGTTAGTCTAAAGATGGACATGATCGCCCCTATTAGGGGTGCAACAGTTTGAAAAAAATCACGGTTCGGATCGTACCTTGGTTCAGAGGCAAAGGTTCGGTTCATTTTTCGGTTCATTTTTCACAAAAAAAGTTTTGTCTTTTTAATAAACACGGCTCATGTGGACTCAGCACCTGCAGGAGGATCAGAGAGGGGCCGGTGCTCTGTGTACAGGGTGCAGCTATGACTGCCACCCCCCGACCCAGAAATGGATTAAGGGGAAGGAAATGGATGGATGGATGGAAGGCATATTCCATCCATCCATCCAATTATGTCTTTTTAAAATAATTAATGAAAAACAACACAAAGTGCAACATAAGAAGGCACTTTATGAGGTTATTTACCCTCATATATTAAACCACCTTCCTGATTCTTCCGAGGAGGCGCTCCATCCTGGGCCCAGCCTCATTCACTGCATTTATTTAATTTTTGGCATTATCAATTGTGACTGGGATATTAGTATTGGGCCTTTGTCTTCCATTCCTCCGCTGCTTGTGTCAGTACCTGCGCTGTGTGTCAGTACCTGTGCTGTGTGTCAGTACCTGCGCTGTGTGCCAGTACCTGCGCTGTTTGTCAGTACCTGTGCTGTGTGTCAGTACCTGTGCTGTGTGTCAGTACCTGTGCTGTGTGTCAGTACCTGTGCTGTGTGTCAGTGCCTGCGCTGTTTGTCAGTACCTGTGCTGTGTGTCAGTACCTGTGCTGTGTGACTGTACCTGCGCTGTGTGCCAGTACCTGAGCTGTGTCAGTACCTGTGCTGTGTGTCAGTACCTGTGCTGTGTGTCAGTACCTGTGCTGTGTGCCAGTACCTGTGCTGTGTGTCAGTACCTGTGCTGTGTGTCAGTACCTGTGCTGTGTGTCAGTACCTGTGCTGTGTGCCAGTACCTGTGCTGTGTGCCAGTACCTGTGCTGTGTGTCAGTACCTGTGCTGTGTGCCAGTACCTGTGCTGTGTGCCAGTACCTGTGCTGTGTGTCAGTACCTGTGCTGTGTGCCAGTACCTGTGATGTGTGTCAGTACCTGTGATGTGTGCCAGTACCTGCGCTGTGTGCCAGTACCTGTGCTGTGTGTCAGTACCTGCGCTGTGTGTCAGTACCTGTGCTGTGTGTCAGTACCTGTGCTGTGTGTCAGTACCTGTGCTGTGTGTCAGTACCTGTGCTGTGTGTCAGTACCTGTGCTGTGTGTCAGTACCTGTGCTGTGTGCCAGTACCTGTGCTGTGTGCCAGTACCTGTGCTGTGTGTCAGTACCTGTGCTGTGTGCCAGTACCTGTGCTGTGTGCCAGTACCTGTGCTGTGTGTCAGTACCTGTGCTGTGTGCCAGTACCTGTGATGTGTGTCAGTACCTGTGATGTGTGCCAGTAGCCAGTACCTGGGCTGTGTGTCAGTACCTGCGCTGTGTGCCAGTACCTGTGCTGTGTGCCAGTACCTGTGCTGTGTGTCAGTACCTGTGCTGTGTGCCAGTACCTGCGCTGTGTGCCAGTACCTGTGCTGTGTGTCAGTACCTGTGCTGTGTGCCAGTACCTGCGCTGTGTGCCAGTACCTGTGCTGTGTGTCAGTACCTGCGCTGTGTGTCAGTACCTGCGCTGTGTGTCAGTACCTGCGCTGTGTGCAGTACCTGCGCTGTGTGTCAGTACCTGTGCTGTGTGCAGTACCTGTGCTGTGTGTCAGTACCTGCGCTGTGTGTCAGTACCTGCGCTGTGTGCCAGTACCTGCGCTGTGTGTCAGTACCTGAGCTGTGTCAGTACCTGTGCTGTGTGTCAGTACCTGTGCTGTGTGCCAGTACCTGTGCTGTGTGTCAGTACCTGAGCTGTGTCAGTACCTGCGCTGTGTGCCAGTACCTGTGCTGTGTGTCCAGTACCTGTGCTGTGTCAGTACCTGCGCTGTGTGTCAGTACCTGTGCTGTGTGCCAGTACCTGTGCTGTGTGTCAGTACCTGTGCTGTGTGCCAGTACCTGCGCTGTGTGTCAGTACCTGCGCTGTGTGTCAGTACCTGCGCTGTGTGTCAGTACCTGTGCTGTGTGCCAGTACCTGTGCTGTGTGTCAGTACCTGTGCTGTGTGTCAGTACCTGCGCTGTGTGTCAGTACCTGTGCTGTGTGTCAGTACCTGTGCTGTGTGCCAGTACCTGTGCTGTGTGCCAGTACCTGTGCTGTGTGTCAGTACCTGAGCTGTGTCAGTACCTGCGCTGTGTGTCAGTACCTGTGCTGTGTGCCAGTACCTGTGCTGTGTGCCTGTGTGACTGTCGTAGAGTCTGCTGTGATGAAGTGAGCGGTTATTGTAACATACCTCTCCGTTCCGCAGGACGTCCAAGCGTCAGTCGTGAGCGCAACTGTGGATGCGCGGAAAAGTTCACTTTAGCCCGATCTGACTGTGCGTAAAGGGGCTGCTTAAATGCTGCGGCAAATCAAACCGCGGATCACGTCTGTACCAAACCGAAGACGTTGATCCGAACGGATCACGGATCAGAGATGAACCGTTGCACCTTTAGCCGCTATTAACACTTAAAACATCTGCCAGATGATGTATCGATCTCTGATGTGATTTAGGGGCTAGTATTCTGTCCTGAAGGAAATATTCTTATTGTGTTGCTATTTCTTTATTAGAATGTGCAGCTAGGACTCGGAGTCAGAATCAGGTTTGGGTTAGCTTTCAGTATGGTTAGGGTTAGGGTTAGTGGTTTAACCCTAACCCTAAGTGCTAAGCATCATGGGAACTCCTTCCAGACTGTTGAAGACAATTTCAGGTCCTGTTGAAGCTCATCCAGAGAATGCCAAGAGTGAAGCAGTATCAGAGCAAAAGGAGCTACTTTGAAGAACCAGAATATAACACATATTTACACTTGGTTCATACTTTTTTTAGTACGTACATAATTCAAATGAGTTAATTCATAGGTTTGAGGCCTTCAGTGTGAATCTACAATTTAAATAATCATGAAAATAAAACACTCTTTGAACGAGAAGGTGTGTCCAAACTTTCGCTCTGTATTGCATAAAGCACTGACTATAATAGATGTACGGTGCCTTGCCAAAGTATTCACCCCCCTTGGCATTTTGTGTGTTTTGTTGCCTCACAACCTGGAATTGCTTACTTGCAATTGACGTCACGTCCGCCTCATTACATATGCGTATTACGAAGTGGTGGTCAGCCGAGCTAATTGTTCACTAGAGCAGCATGTCTGAATCTGCCTTTTGTATGTGTTGTTTTAAGTTTTCTAACCGATCGAATCGTGAAACCTTTAATGGATACTTTAGGATTCCTTGTGAAGAGATGAATAAAGAGCCTCACACTAAGGACTTTACAAAAACACACAGGAAAAGTGTCTCGCTAACATTTCACTAGCAAACGCTTTTACCTCTAAGGATTATTTATTTACCCAGCCATGGAGTCACAATGCACTGTTATTACATCTTCATCTTTATTTCATTCATTTCAAGCTTGATTGTAACACTAGCTGTGGGTTAGAATCTAAAGTGAAGAAAATGACAGTCTAGGATCGTGTCTTTAACAGAAGACATGTTTTATTGTCGATGGTAGAGGTAGAACAAAGACGTTACGGAATGTAAGTGACATACAGCGGAGGAATGAAGACTTATTAGCATATTAGCATATTAGCATTTACCGCTGTGCCAGTAGCTTCAACCTTGATATTACCAAAACATGTAGTGGAAAAATTCTGCCTTGTGCATATTGTTAGAATGATGAGTTAGAACGTTCACCGCAGTAGCTTCAAAGTGTCATGAAATATCCAAAAAAGCAAAAAATACTCGGAAGAGTCGCATTTTCTTCATATATCAGCAGCAGCTCCTGCTGGCCTGACCACCACTCCGTCAACAGGAAGTTTATGCGTCACGTGACTGCAAGCAAGCAATTAACATGGATTGTTTGAGGATTTGCATCAGTTAATTGGGCGGCACGGTGGCTGAGTGGATAGCACTCTCGCCTCTCAGCAAGAAGGTCCTGGGTTCGAATCCCGGTCGGACCAGGGCCTTTCTGAGTGGAGTTTGCATGTTCTCCCCGTGTCTGCGTAGGTTTCCTCCGGGTACTCCGGTTTCCCCTACCACTAAAAATATGTCCAATAGTTCTAGCATGCGCCTCCTGTACTGGCGACCCCGCTCCCATCTCTATGTGGAGTGAGAGACTAATGCACAAAAAATTAACAATTGTAAACCGCTTTGAGACTCAGATCTGCAGTGAAAAGGCGGTATATAAATAAATACTTACTTACTTACTACTTACTTAATTTACAGAACATGCCACAACTTTGCTTCACAATAAAAAAAGACAACATCTCCAAACAACTATCCATCCATCCATCCATTTTCTACCCTTTAATCCATTTCTGGGTCAGGGGGGTGGCAGTCAGAGATGCACCCAAGTCTCATAGCACCAGCCTTTTAGTCCAAACAACTAAAAGGACAAAATAACAGAAAAGGTCAATGTGCATAACTATTCACCCCCTAAAGTCAATACTTTGTAGAGCCACCTTTTGCGGCAATCACAACTCCAAGTCGCTTTGGATAAGTCTCTATGAGCTTTCCACATCTTACCACTGGGATGTTAGCCCATTCCTCTTTGCAAAACTGCTCTAGCTCCTTCAAGTTGGATGGTTTGCGCTTGTGAACAGCAATCTTTAAGTCTGACCACAGATTTTCTATTGGACTGAGGTCTGGGCTTTGACTGGGCCATTCCAACACATTTACATGTTTCCCCTTAAACCACTGAAGTGTTGCTTTAGCAGTGTGTTTGGGCTCATTGTCCTGCTGGAAGGTGAACCTCTGTCCTAGCCTCAAATCACGCCCAAAGTGGAACAGGTTTTGCTCAACAATATCCCTGTATTTAGCACCAACCATCTTTCCCTCAACTCTGACCAGTTTCCCAGTCCCGGCTTCTGAAAAACATCCCCACAGCATGATGCTGCCACCACCATGTTTCACTGTGGGGATGGTGTTCTTTGGGTGATATGATGTGTTGGGTTTGCGCCAGACATAGCGTTTTCCTTGATGGCTGAAAAGTTCAATGTTAGTCTGATCAGACCAGAGCACCTGTCCCTCCATACATTTTGGGAGTCTCCCTCGTGCCTTTTTCGGAAACTCAAAACGTGCCATTTTGTTTTTTGCTGAAAGTAATGTCTTTCTTCTGCCACTCTGCCATAAAGCCCAACTCTATGGAGCGTACGGCTTAGTGTGGTCCTATGTACAGATGCTCCAGTCTCTGCTGTGGAACTCTGCAGCTCCTCCAGGGTTACCTTAGGGCTCTGCCTCTCTGATTAATGCCCTCCGTGCCCGGTCCCTGAGTTTTGGTGGGCGGCCGTCTCTTGGCAGGTTTGCTGTTGTGCCATGTTCTTTCCATTTGGTTATGATAGATTTGATGCTGCTCCTGGGGATCATCAAAGATTTGGATATTTACTCAGGCACTGAGTGGATAGCACTCTCGCCTCTCAGCAAGAAGGTCCTGGGTTCGAAACCCGGTCGGACCAGGGCCTTTCTGAGTGGAGTTTGCATGGTCTCCCCCGTGGCATGGCATGCGCCTCCTTTTCGGCGACCCTTGCTCCCATCTCTGTGTGGAGCTCGAGGACAAATGCTCAAAAAAATAAAACAATATATATATATAACAATTGTAAACCGCTTTGTGACTCTGGTCTGTGAAAGGCGGTTTATAAATAAAGATTTCTTACTTACTGATTTGTACTTGTCAACAACACTGTCCCTGACTTGTTTGGAGAGTTCCTTGGTCTTCATGGCAGTGTTTGGTCAGTGGGGCCTCTCCGCTTTTGTCACGAACTGGCTCGAGGTTCGGACAAAACTGGAGTCCACACATGTTTCAAAAAGGTACCAAAAATAGAATATTTATTTAAAAGGCTGCTACTGCCAGGGGAGAGAGGCCCATCAACTTCCTGACAGCACTTTTGAATGTGGCCGGTCCCACCCATCTCAGGTGCTGCCAGTCCCAATCAGCTCTCCTATTGGCTGGATCCTGAAAGGAGGAGAAAGCCAGCAGCAACACACAAAGCAGACAAGACTGGGGTCGTCACACTTTGGTGTTGCAGCCTCTGGGCCTTTCAGGTGTGTATGTACTGACAGATCATGTGACACTTAAAGGTGTGTATGTACTGACAGATCATGTGACACTTAAAGGTGTGTGTGTACTGACAGATCATGTGACACTTAAAGGTGTGTATGTACTGACAGGTCATGTGACACTTAAAGGTGTGTATGTACTGACAGGTCATGTGACTCTTAAAGGTGTATGTACTGACAGATCATGTGACTCTTAAAGGTGTGTATGTACTGACAGGTCATGTGACACTTAAAGGTGTGTATGTACTGACAGGTCATGTGACTCTTAAAGGTGTGTATGTACTGACAGGTCATGTGACACTTAAAGGTGTGTATGTACTGACAGGTCATGTGACACTTGCACACAGGTGGACATCATTTCACTATTTATGTGGGCTTCATAACAAAGGGGGTGAATACTTATGCACATGCCAATTTCCAGTTTTTTATGTCTGAAAAATAGTTTTATGTATATATTTTTCTCAATTCACTTCACCAACTTAGACTATTGTTTTCTGATCCATCACATGAAATTCAGATTAAAAAAACATTGAACTAAAGGCTGTAATGTAACAAAATAGGTAAAAAGCCGAGGGGGGTGAATACTTTTGCAAGGCACTGTGTGTGTATATGTATGTACTATATATTGCGAAAGTATTCGGCCCCCTTGAACCTTTCAACATTTCGCCACATTTCAGGCTTCAAACATAAAGATATAAAATTTTATTTTTTGTCATGAATCAACAACAAGTGGGACACAATCGTGAAGTGGAACGAAATTTATTGGATAATTTAAACTTTTTTAACAAATAAAAAACTGAAAAGTGGGGCGTGCAATATTATTCGGCCCCTTGCACTAATACTTTGTAGCGCCACCTTTTGCTGCAATTACAGCTGCAAGTCGCTTGGGGTATGTCTCTATCAGTTTTGCACATCGAGAGACTGAAATTCTTCTTTCTGCAAAACAGCTGGAGCTCAGTGAGGTTGGATGGAGAGCGTTTGTGAACAGCAGTCTTCAGCTCTTTCCACAGATTCTCGATTGGATTCAGGTCTGGACTTTGACTTGGCCATTCTAACACCTGGATACGTCTATTTGTGAACCATTCCATTGTAGATTTGGCTTTATGTTTTGGATCATTGTCCTGTTGGAAGATAAATCTCCGTCCCAGTCTCAGGTCTTTTGCAGACTCCAACAGGTTTTCTTCCAGAATGGTCCTGCATTTGGCTCCATCCATCTTCCCATCAATTTTAGCCATCTTCCCTGTCCCTGCTGAAGAAAAGCAGGCCCAAAGCATGATGCTGCCACCACCATGTTTGACAGTGGGGATGGTGTGTTCAGGGTGATGAGCTGTGTTGCTTTTACGCCAAACATATCGTTTTGCATTGTGGCCAAAAAGTTCGATTTTGGTTTCATCTGACCAGAGCACCTTCTTCCACATGTTTGGTGTGTCTCCCAGGAGGCTTGTGGCAAACTTTAAACAAGACTTTTTATGGATATCTTTGAGAAATAGCTTTCTTCTTGCCACTCTTCCATAAAGGCCAGATTTGTGCAGTGCACGACTGATTGTTGTCCTATGGACAGACTCTCCCACCTCAGCTGTAGTTATCTGCAGTTCATCCAGAGTGATCATGGGCCTCTTGGCTGCATCTCTGATCAGTCTTCTCCTTGTTTGAGATGAAAGTTTGGAGGGACGGCCGGGTCTTGGTAGATTTGCAGTGGTCTGATACTCCTTCCATTTCAATATAATTGCTTGCACAGTGCTCCTTGAGATGTTTAAAGCTTGGGAAATCTTTTTGTATCCAAATCCGGCTTTAAACTTCTCCACAACAGTATCTCGGACCTGCCTGGTGTGTTCCTTTGTCTTCATGGTTCTCTCTGCGCTTTAAACAGAACCCTGAGACTATCAAAGAGCAGGTGCATTTATACGGAGACTTGATTGCACCTGTGTGTAATCTATTTATCATCATCAGTCATTTAGGACAACATTGGATCATTCAAAGATCCTCACTGAACTTCTGGACTGAGTTTGCTGCACTGAAAGTAAAGGGGCCCAATAATATTGCACGCCCCACTTTTCAGTTTTTTATTTGTTAAAAAAGTTTAAATTAACCAATACATTTTGTTCCACTTCACGATTGTGTCCCACTTGTTGTTGATTCATGACAAAAAATTAAAATGTTATATCTTTATGTTTGAAGCCTGAAATGTGGCGAAATATTGAAAGGTTCACTGTATTAGAAAATGCCAGTATTATTCTATCCAATAATGCAGTATAAATATCCACAACCACCAAGCATTTTTAATGCAAGAAGAAAATTAGGTACCCGAGCTTTAATTTCGTGAGCGCATAGGAGACACGGGGGAGACCTGCACTTGCAACAAGCTGGGGATTGTCTGAACGCGTGTCAATGGTTCTGTCCGCGTATGGTCCTGTTAGAAGAGTGTCTATGGTCCACGTGTCTATGGTCCTGTCCAACTGTCAATGATCCGCGTGTCTCGCGTGTCTTTGATCCGCGTATGGTCCTGTTCGCGTGTGTCTATGGTCCTGTTCACGTGTTTATGGTCCTGTCTATGGTCCTGTCTATGGTCCTGTCTATGGTCCGTGCTCGGAGCCCCGTTATGGCAGTGCTTTCACTGCGCTGTCACACAGCGCAAGCAGCTGCTCCCGGGGTCAGAGCGGAAGATGTAACGTTCGGTTTATCAACACGTATCACAATTTTTTATGTATAAAACTAGTGAATTTCACCTAGATATTTTCAGAAATTAAAGACAAGACGTTATATGATAATTATTTAATGAAAACACAATTTAGCCAAAAAAATGACTCGACCTATTTTCACTGTTTACTCGGAACGTGCTAGCGCGACATCCGATCAGATCGCATCACATACATATGTTTCACAGTTGCTTCTTCTTGTTCAGGTTCTGGCGCGGTTAAAAGACGAGGAGGTGAGATGTCGGAAGTACCTGCACCCCAGCTCCTACGCCAAAGTCATCCACGAGTGTCAGCAGCGGATGGTGGCCGACCACCTCCAGTTCCTCCACGGAGAGTGTCAGAGCATCATCAGGCAGGAGAAGAGAGAGGGTGAGGCTGTGAGAGGGTGAGGCTGTGAGAGGGTGAGGCTGTGAGAGAGGGTGAGGCTGTGAGAGAGAGTGAGGCTGTGAGAGGGTGAGGCTGTGAGGGAGGGTGAGGCTGTGAGAGAGGGTGAGGCTGTGAGAGAGGGTGAGGCTGTGAGAGAGAGTGAGGCTGTGAGAGGGTGAGGCTGTGAGGGAGGGTGAGGCTGTGAGAGAGGGTGAGGCTGTGAGAGAGGGTGAGGCTGTGAGGGAGGGTGAGGCTGTGAGAGGGTGAGGCTGTGAGGGAGGGTGAGGCTGTGAGGGAGGGTGAGGCTGTGAGGGAGGGTGAGGCTGTGAGGGAGGGTGAGGCTGTGAGAGAGGGTGAGGCTGTGAGAGAGGGTGAGGCTGTGAGGGAGGGTGAGGCTGTGAGAGGGTGAGGCTGTGAGGGAGGGTGAGGCTGTGAGGGAGGGTGAGGCTGTGAGAGAGGGTGAGGCTGTGAGGGAGGGTGAGGCTGTGAGAGAGGGTGAGGCTGTGAGAGAGGGTGAGGCTGTGAGAGAGGGTGAGGCTGTGAGAGAGGGTGAGGCTGTGAGAGAGGGTGAGGCTGTGAGGGAGGGTGAGGCTGTGAGGAGGGTGAGGCTGTGAGGGAGGGTGAGGCTGTGAGGGAGGGTGAGGCTGTGAGGGAGGGTGAGGCTGTGAGAGAGGGTGAGGCTGTGAGGGAGGGTGAGGCTGTGAGAGAGGGTGAGGCTGTGAGAGAGGGTGAGGCTGTGAGGGAGGGTGAGGCTGTGAGGGTGAGGCTGTGAGGGAGGGTGAGGCTGTGAGGGAGGGTGAGGCTGTGAGAGAGGGTGAGGCTGTGAGGGAGGGTGAGGCTGTGAGGGAGGGTGAGGCTGTGAGGGAGGGTGAGGCTGTGAGGAGGGTGAGGCTGTGAGGGAGGGTGAGGCTGTGAGGGAGGGTGAGGCTGTGAGGGAGGGTGAGGCTGTGAGGGAGGGTGAGGCTGTGAGGGAGGGTGAGGCTGTGAGGGAGGGTGAGGCTGTGAGGGAGGGTGAGGCTGTGAGGGAGGGTGAGGCTGTGAGGGAGGGTGAGGCTGTGAGGGAGGGTGAGGCTGTGAGAGGGGTGAGGCTGTGAGGGAGGGTGAGGCTGTGAGGGAGGGTGAGGCTGTGAGGGAGGGTGAGGCTGTGAGGGAGGGTGAGGCTGTGAGGGGTGAGGCTGTGAGGGTGAGGGTGAGGCTGTGTGTGAGGGGTGAGGCTGTGAGAGAGGGTGAGGCTGTGAGAGGGTGAGGCTGTGAGAGAGGGTGAGGCTGTGAGGGAGGGTGAGGCTGTGAGGGAGGGTGAGGCTGTGAGGGAGAGGGTGAGGCTGTGAGGGAGGGTGAGGCTGTGAGGGAGGGTGAGGCTGTGAGGAGGGAGCGTGAGGGTGGCTGTGAGGGAGGGTGAGGCTGTGAGGGAGGGTGAGGCTGTGAGGGAGGGTGAGGCTGTGAGGGAGGGTGAGGCTGTGAGGGAGGGTGAGGCTGTGAGGGAGGGTGAGGCTGTGAGGGAGGGTGAGGCTGTGAGAGAGGGTGAGGCTGTGAGAGAGGGTGAGGCTGTGAGGGAGGGTGAGGCTGTGAGGGAGGGTGAGGCTGTGAGGAGGGTGAGGCTGTGAGAGGGTGAGGCTGTGAGGGAGGGTGAGGCTGTGAGGGAGGGTGAGGCTGTGAGGGAGGGTGAGGCTGTGAGGGAGGGTGAGGCTGTGAGGGAGGGTGAGGCTGTGAGGGAGGGTGAGGCTGTGAGGGAGGGTGAGGCTGTGAGGGAGGGTGAGGCTGTGAGGGAGGGTGAGGCTGTGAGGAGGGTGAGGCTGTGAGAGAGGGTGAGGCTGTGTGAGGGGGTGAGGCTGTGAGAGGGTGAGGCTGTGAGAGAGGGTGAGGCTGTGAGAGGGTGAGGCTGTGAGGAGGGTGAGGCTGTGAGGGAGGGTGAGGCTGTGAGAGAGGGTGAGGCTGTGAGAGGGTGAGGCTGTGAGAGGGTGAGGCTGTGAGGAGGGTGAGGCTGTGAGGAGGGTGAGGCTGTGAGAGGGTGAGGCTGTGAGGGAGGGTGAGGCTGTGAGAGGGTGAGGCTGTGAGGGAGGGTGAGGCTGTGAGGGAGGGTGAGGCTGTGAGAGAGGGTGAGGCTGTGAGAGAGGGTGAGGCTGTGAGAGGGTGAGGCTGTGAGGAGGGTGAGGCTGTGAGGGAGGGTGAGGCTGTGAGGGAGGGTGAGGCTGTGAGGGAGGGTGAGGCTGTGAGGAGGGTGAGGCTGTGAGGAGGTGAGGCTGTGAGAGGGGTGAGGCTGTGAGAGAGGGTGAGGCTGTGAGAGGAGGGTGAGGCTGTGAGGGAGGGTGAGGCTGTGAGGGAGGGTGAGGCTGTGAGGGAGGGTGAGGCTGTGAGGAGGGTGAGGCTGTGAGGGAGGGTGAGGCTGTGAGGGAGGGTGAGGCTGTGAGGGAGGGTGAGGCTGTGAGGGGGGGTGTGAGAGGCTGTGAGGGAGGGTGAGGCTGTGAGGGGAGGGGTGAGGCTGTGAGAGGAGGGTGAGGCTGTGAGGGAGGGTGAGGCTGTGAGAGGGTGAGGCTGTGAGGGAGGGTGAGGCTGTGAGGGAGGGTGAGGCTGTGAGGGAGGGTGAGGCTGTGAGAGGGTGAGGCTGTGAGGGAGGGTGAGGCTGTGAGGGAGGGTGAGGCTGTGAGGGAGGGTGAGGCTGTGAGGGAGGGTGAGGCTGTGAGGAGGGTGAGGCTGTGGAGGGTGAGGCTGTGAGAGGTGAGGCTGTGAGGAGGGTGAGGCTGTGAGAGGGTGAGGCTGTGAGAGAGGGTGAGGCTGTGAGGAGGTGAGGCTGTGAGGGTGAGGCTGTGAGGGAGGGTGGGCTGTGAGGTGAGGGTGAGGCTGTGAGGAGGGTGAGGCTGTGAGAGGGGAGGGTGAGGCTGTGAGGGAGGGTGAGGCTGTGAGAGGGTGAGGCTGTGAGGGAGGGTGAGGCTGTGAGGGAGGGTGAGGCTGTGAGGGAGGGTGAGGCTGTGAGAGAGGGTGAGGCTGTGAGGGAGGGTGAGGCTGTGAGGGAGGGTGAGGCTGTGAGAGGGTGAGGCTGTGAGGAGGGTGAGGCTGTGAGGGAGGGTGAGGCTGTGAGGGAGGGTGAGGCTGTGAGGAGGGTGAGGCTGTGAGGAGGGTGAGGCTGTGAGGGAGGGTGAGGCTGTGAGGAGGGTGAGGCTGTGAGAGGGTGAGGCTGTGAGGGAGGGTGAGGCTGTGAGGGAGGGTGAGGCTGTGAGGGAGGGTGAGGCTGTGAGGGAGGGTGAGGCTGTGAGGGAGGGTGAGGCTGTGAGGAGGGTGAGGCTGTGAGGGAGGGTGAGGCTGTGAGGAGGGTGAGGCTGTGAGGAGGGTGAGGCTGTGAGGAGGGTGAGGCTGTGAGGGAGGGTGAGGCTGTGAGGAGGGTGAGGCTGTGAGGGAGGGTGAGGCTGTGAGGGAGGGTGAGGCTGTGAGGGAGGGTGAGGCTGTGAGGAGGGTGAGGCTGTGAGGGAGGGTGAGGCTGTGAGGGAGGGTGAGGCTGTGAGTGAGTGAGAGGGTGAGCTGAGGCGTGAGGGAGGGTGAGGCTGTGAGAGAGGGTGAGGCTGTGAGGAGGGTGAGGCTGTGAGGGAGGGTGAGGCTGTGAGGGAGGGTGAGGCTGTGAGGAGGGTGAGGCTGTGAGAGGGTGAGGCTGTGAGGAGGGTGAGGCTGTGAGGAGGGTGAGGCTGTGAGGGAGGGTGAGGCTGTGAGGAGGGTGAGGCTGTGAGGAGGGTGAGGCTGTGAGAGAGGGTGAGGCTGTGAGGGGGTGAGGCTGTGAGAGGAGGGTGAGGCTGTGAGAGGCTGGAGGGGTGAGGCTGTGAGGGAGGGTGAGGCTGTGAGGGAGGGTGAGGCTGTGAGAGGAGGGTGAGGCTGTGAGGGAGGGTGAGGCTGTGAGGAGGGTGAGGCTGTGAGGCTGAGAGGTGAGGCTGTGAGAGAGGGTGAGGCTGTGAGGAGGGTGAGGCTGTGAGGGGGTGAGGCTGTGAGGGAGGGTGAGGCTGTGAGGGAGGGTGAGGCTGTGAGAGGAGGGTGAGGAGGCTGTGAGGAGGGTGAGGCTGTGAGGGAGGGTGAGGCTGTGAGGAGGGTGAGGCTGTGAGGGAGGGTGAGGCTGTGAGGGAGGGTGAGGCTGTGAGGAGGGTGAGGCTGTGAGGGAGGGTGAGGCTGTGAGGGAGGGTGAGGCTGTGAGGGAGGGTGAGGCTGTGAGAGGGTGAGGGTGAGGGGTGAGGCTGTGAGGGAGGGTGAGGCTGTGAGGGAGGGTGAGGCTGTGAGGGAGGGTGAGGCTGTGAGGGAGGGTGAGGCTGTGAGAGAGGGTGAGGCTGTGAGGGAGGGTGAGGCTGTGAGGGGTGAGGCTGTGAGTGAGGCTGTGAGGGAGGGTGAGGCTGTGAGGGGAGGGTGAGGCTGTGAGGAGGGTGAGGCTGTGAGGGAGGGTGAGGCTGTGAGGGAGGGTGAGGCTGTGAGAGAGGGTGAGGCTGTGAGGAGAGGGTGAGGCTGTGAGGGAGGGTGAGGCTGTGAGGGGTGAGGCTGTGAGAGGGTGAGGCTGTGAGGGAGGGTGAGGCTGTGAGAGGGTGAGGCTGTGAGAGGGTGAGGCTGTGAGGGAGGGTGAGGCTGTGAGGGAGGGTGAGGCTGTGAGGGAGGGTGAGGCTGTGAGGAGGGTGAGGCTGTGAGGAGGGTGAGGCTGTGAGGGAGGGTGAGGCTGTGAGGGAGGGTGAGGCTGTGAGGGAGGGTGAGGCTGTGAGGAGGGTGAGGCTGTGAGGGAGGGTGAGGCTGTGAGGAGGGTGAGGCTGTGAGGGAGGGTGAGGCTGTGAGAGGGTGAGGCTGTGAGGGGGTGAGGCTGTGAGGGAGGTGAGGCTGTGAGAGAGGGTGAGGCTGTGAGGGAGGGTGAGGCTGTGAGGGAGGGTGAGGCTGTGAGGGAGGGTGAGGCTGTGAGGAGGGTGAGGCTGTGAGGGAGGGTGAGGCTGTGAGGAGGGTGAGGCTGTGAGGGAGGGTGAGGCTGTGAGAGGGGTGAGGCTGTGGAGGAGGGTGAGGCTGTGAGGGAGGGTGAGGCTGTGAGAGGGGTGAGGCTGTGAGGGAGGGTGAGGCTGTGAGAGAGGGTGAGGCTGTGAGGGAGGGTGAGGCTGTGAGAGGGTGAGGCTGTGAGGCTGTGAGGCTGTGAGGGGTGAGGCTGTGAGGGAGGGTGAGGCTGTGAGGAGGGTGAGGCTGTGAGAGGGTGAGGCTGTGAGAGGGTGAGGCTGTGAGGGAGGGTGAGGCTGTGAGGGAGGTGGTGAGGCTGTGAGGGAGGGTGAGGCTGTGAGGAGGGTGAGGCTGTGAGGGAGGGTGAGGCTGTGAGGGAGGGTGAGGCTGTGAGGGAGGGTGAGGCTGTGAGGGAGGGTGAGGCTGTGAGGGAGGGTGAGGCTGTGAGGGAGGGTGAGGCTGTGAGGGAGGGTGAGGCTGTGAGGGAGGGTGAGGCTGTGAGGAGGGTGAGGCTGTGAGGCGGTGAGGGTGGGAGGGTGAGGCTGTGAGGAGGGTGAGGCTGTGAGGGAGGGTGAGGCTGTGAGGGAGGGTGAGGCTGTGAGGGAGGGTGAGGCTGTGAGAGAGGGTGAGGCTGTGAGAGAGGGTGAGGCTGTGAGGGAGGGTGAGGCTGTGAGGGAGGGTGAGGCTGTGAGGGAGGGTGAGGCTGTGAGGGAGGGTGAGGCTGTGAGGGAGGGTGAGGCTGTGAGGGAGGGTGTGAGGCTGTGAGGGAGGGTGAGGCTGTGAGAGAGGGTGAGGCTGTGAGGGAGGGTGAGGCTGTGAGGAGGGTGAGGCTGTGAGGGAGGGTGAGGCTGTGAGGGAGGGTGAGGCTGTGAGGGAGGGTGAGGCTGTGAGGGAGGGTGAGGCTGTGAGGAGGGTGAGGCTGTGAGGGAGGGTGAGGCTGTGAGGGAGGGTGAGGCTGTGAGGGAGGGTGAGGCTGTGAGGGAGGGTGAGGCTGTGAGAGAGGGTGAGGCTGTGAGGGAGGGTGAGGCTGTGAGGGAGGGTGAGGCTGTGAGGGAGGGTGAGGCTGTGAGGGAGGGTGAGGCTGTGAGGAGAGGGTGAGGCTGTGAGGGAGGGTGAGGCTGTGAGAGAGGGTGAGGCTGTGAGGGAGGGTGAGGCTGTGAGGGAGGGTGAGGCTGTGAGGGAGGGTGAGGCTGTGAGGGAGGGTGAGGCTGTGAGGGAGGGTGAGGCTGTGAGGGAGGGTGAGGCTGTGAGGGAGGGTGAGGCTGTGAGGGAGGGTGAGGCTGTGAGGGAGGGTGAGGCTGTGAGGGAGGGTGAGGCTGTGAGGGAGGGTGAGGCTGTGAGGGAGGGTGAGGCTGTGAGGGAGGGTGAGGCTGTGAGGGAGGGTGAGGCTGTGAGGGAGGGTGAGGCTGTGAGGGAGGGTGAGGCTGTGAGGGAGGGTGAGGCTGTGAGGGAGGGTGAGGCTGTGAGGGAGGGTGAGGCTGTGAGGGAGGGTGAGGCTGTGAGGGAGGGTGAGGCTGTGAGGGAGGGTGAGGCTGTGAGGGAGGGTGAGGCTGTGAGAGAGGGTGAGGCTGTGAGGGAGGGTGAGGCTGTGAGGGAGGGTGAGGCTGTGAGGCTGAGGGTGAGGCTGTGAGGGAGGGTGAGGCTGTGAGGGAGGGTGAGGCTGTGAGGGAGGGTGAGGCTGTGAGGGAGGGTGAGGCTGTGAGGGAGGGTGAGGCTGTGAGGAGGGTGAGGCTGTGAGAGGGTGAGGCTGTGAGGGAGGGTGAGGCTGTGAGGGAGGGTGAGGCTGTGAGGGAGGGTGAGGCTGTGAGGGAGGGTGAGGCTGTGAGGGAGGGTGAGGCTGTGAGGGAGGGTGAGGCTGTGAGGGAGGGTGAGGCTGTGAGGGAGGGTGAGGCTGTGAGGGAGGGTGAGGCTGTGAGGGAGGGTGAGGCTGTGAGGGAGGGTGAGGCTGTGAGAGAGGGTGAGGCTGTGAGAGAGGGTGAGGCTGTGAGGGAGGGTGAGGCTGTGAGGAGGGTGAGGCTGTGAGGGAGGGTGAGGCTGTGAGGAGGGTGAGGCTGTGAGGAGGGGGTGAGGCTGTGAGGGAGGGTGAGGCTGTGAGGGAGGGTGAGGCTGTGAGAGGGGAGGCTGTGAGGAGGGTGAGGCTGTGAGAGAGGGTGAGGCTGTGAGGGAGGGTGAGGCTGTGAGGGAGGGTGAGGCTGTGAGGAGGGTGAGGCTGTGAGGGAGGGTGAGGCTGTGAGAGGGGTGAGGCTGTGAGGGAGGGTGAGGCTGTGAGGGAGGGTGAGGCTGTGAGGGAGGGTGAGGCTGTGAGGGAGGGTGAGGCTGTGAGGGAGGGTGAGGCTGTGAGGGAGGGTGAGGCTGTGAGGGAGGGTGAGGCTGTGAGGAGGGTGAGGCTGTGAGGAGGGTGAGGCTGTGAGGGAGGGTGAGGCTGTGAGGGAGGGTGAGGCTGTGAGGGAGGGTGAGGCTGTGAGAGAGGGTGAGGCTGTGAGGGAGGGTGAGGCTGTGAGGGAGGGTGAGGCTGTGAGGGAGGGTGAGGCTGTGAGGGAGGGTGAGGCTGTGAGGGAGGGTGAGGCTGTGAGGGAGGGTGAGGCTGTGAGGGAGGGTGAGGCTGTGAGAGAGGGTGAGGCTGTGAGAGAGGGTGAGGCTGTGAGGGAGGGTGAGGCTGTGAGGGAGGGTGAGGCTGTGAGGGAGGGTGAGGCTGTGAGGGAGGGTGAGGCTGTGAGGGAGGGTGAGGCTGTGAGGGAGGGTGAGGCTGTGAGGGGAGGGTGAGGCTGTGAGGGAGGGTGAGGCTGTGAGGGAGGGTGAGGCTGTGAGAGGGTGAGGCTGTGAGGAGGGTGAGGCTGTGAGGGAGGGTGAGGCTGTGAGGGAGGGTGAGGCTGTGAGGGAGGGTGAGGCTGTGAGAGGGTGAGGCTGTGAGGGAGGGTGAGGCTGTGAGGGAGGGTGAGGCTGTGAGGGAGGGTGAGGCTGTGAGGGAGGGTGAGGCTGTGAGGGAGGGTGAGGCTGTGAGGGAGGGTGAGGCTGTGAGGGAGGGTGAGGCTGTGAGGGAGGGTGAGGCTGTGAGGGAGGGTGAGGCTGTGAGGAGGGTGAGGCTGTGAGAGAGGGTGAGGCTGTGAGGGAGGGTGAGGCTGTGAGGGAGGGTGAGGCTGTGAGGAGGGTGAGGCTGTGAGAGAGGGTGAGGCTGTGAGGGAGGGTGAGGCTGTGAGGGAGGGTGAGGCTGTGAGGAGGGTGAGGCTGTGAGGGAGGGTGAGGCTGTGAGGGAGGGTGAGGCTGTGAGGAGGGTGAGGCTGTGAGGGAGGGTGAGGCTGTGAGAGGGTGAGGCTGTGAGAGAGGGTGAGGCTGTGAGGGAGGGTGAGGCTGTGAGGGAGGGTGAGGCTGTGAGGAGGGTGAGGCTGTGAGGGAGGGTGAGGCTGTGAGGGAGGGTGAGGCTGTGAGGGAGGGTGAGGCTGTGAGGGAGGGTGAGGCTGTGAGAGAGGGTGAGGCTGTGAGAGAGGGTGAGGCTGTGAGGAGGGTGAGGCTGTGAGGGAGGGTGAGGCTGTGAGGGAGGGTGAGGCTGTGAGGGAGGGTGAGGCTGTGAGGGAGGGTGAGGCTGTGAGGGAGGGTGAGGCTGTGAGAGGGTGAGGCTGTGAGGGAGGGTGAGGCTGTGAGAGGGTGAGGCTGTGAGGGAGGGTGAGGCTGTGAGGGAGGGTGAGGCTGTGAGGGAGGGTGAGGCTGTGAGGGAGGGTGAGGCTGTGAGGGAGGGTGAGGCTGTGAGAGGGTGAGGCTGTGAGAGGGTGAGGCTGTGAGGGAGGGTGAGGCTGTGAGAGGGTGAGGGTGAGGCTGTGAGGGAGGGTGAGGCTGTGAGGGAGGGTGAGGCTGTGAGGGAGGGTGAGGCTGTGAGGAGGGTGAGGCTGTGAGGGAGGGTGAGGCTGTGAGGGAGGGTGAGGCTGTGAGAGGGTGAGGCTGTGAGGGAGGGTGAGGCTGTGAGGGAGGGTGAGGCTGTGAGGGAGGGTGAGGCTGTGAGGGAGGGTGAGGCTGTGAGGGAGGGTGAGGCTGTGAGAGGGTGAGGCTGTGAGGGAGGGTGAGGCTGTGAGGGAGGGTGAGGCTGTGAGGGAGGGTGAGGCTGTGAGAGAGGGTGAGGCTGTGAGGGAGGGTGAGGCTGTGAGGGAGGGTGAGGCTGTGAGAGGGTGAGGCTGTGAGGGAGGGTGAGGCTGTGAGGGAGGGTGAGGCTGTGAGAGGGTGAGGCTGTGAGAGGGTGAGGCTGTGAGGGAGGGTGAGGCTGTGAGGGAGGGTGAGGCTGTGAGGGAGGGTGAGGCTGTGAGGGAGGGTGAGGCTGTGAGGGAGGGTGAGGCTGTGAGGGAGGGTGAGGCTGTGAGGGAGGGTGAGGCTGTGAGGGAGGGTGAGGCTGTGAGAGAGGGTGAGGCTGTGAGGGAGGGTGAGGCTGTGAGGAGGGTGAGGCTGTGAGGAGGGTGAGGCTGTGAGGGAGGGTGAGGCTGTGAGGGAGGGTGAGGCTGTGAGGGAGGGTGAGGCTGTGAGAGAGGGTGAGGCTGTGAGGGGGTGGGTGAGGCTGTGAGGGAGGGTGAGGCTGTGAGGGAGGGTGAGGCTGTGAGGGAGGGTGAGGCTGTGAGGGAGGGTGAGGCTGTGAGAGAGGGTGAGGCTGTGAGGGAGGGTGAGGCTGTGAGGGAGGGTGAGGCTGTGAGGAGGGTGAGGCTGTGAGGGAGGGTGAGGCTGTGAGGGAGGGTGAGGCTGTGAGGGGGGTGAGGCTGTGAGGGAGGGTGAGGCTGTGAGGGAGGGTGAGGCTGTGAGGGAGGGTGAGGCTGTGAGGGAGGGTGAGGCTGTGAGGGAGGGTGAGGCTGTGAGGGGTGAGGGTGAGAGAGGGTGAGGCTGTGAGGGAGGGTGAGGCTGTGAGGGAGGGTGAGGCTGTGAGGAGGGTGAGGCTGTGAGGGGTGAGGCTGTGAGGGAGGGTGAGGCTGTGAGGAGGGTGAGGCTGTGAGGGAGGGTGAGGCTGTGAGGGAGGGTGAGGCTGTGAGAGAGGGTGAGGCTGTGAGAGGGTGAGGCTGTGAGGGAGGGTGAGGCTGTGAGGGAGGGTGAGGCTGTGAGGGAGGGTGAGGCTGTGAGAGGGGTGAGGCTGTGAGGGAGGGTGAGGCTGTGAGAGAGGGTGAGGCTGTGAGGAGGGTGAGGCTGTGAGAGAGGGTGAGGCTGTGAGGGAGGGTGAGGCTGTGAGAGAGGGTGAGGCTGTGAGGGAGGGTGAGGCTGTGAGGGGGTGAGGCTGTGAGGGAGGGTGAGGCTGTGAGGGAGGGTGAGGCTGTGAGAGGGTGAGGCTGTGAGGGAGGGTGAGGCTGTGAGAGGGTGAGGCTGTGAGGGAGGGTGAGGCTGTGAGGGAGGGTGAGGCTGTGAGGGAGGGTGAGGCTGTGAGAGGGTGAGGCTGTGAGGAGGGTGAGGCTGTGAGAGGAGGTGAGGCTGTGAGGGAGGGTGAGGCTGTGAGAGGGTGAGCTGTGAGGGAGGGTGAGGCTGTGAGAGAGGTGAGGCTGTGAGAGGTGAGGCTGTGAGAGAGGGTGAGGCTGTGAGGAGGGTGAGGCTGTGAGGGGTGGCTGTGAGGTGAGGCTGTGAGGAGGGTGAGGCTGTGAGGAGGTGAGGCTGTGAGAGGGTGAGGCTGTGAGGAGGGTGAGGCTGTGAGAGGGTGAGGCTGTGAGAGGGTGAGGCTGTGAGAGAGGGTGAGGCTGTGAGAGGGTGAGGCTGTGAGAGGGTGAGGCTGTGAGAGGGTGAGGCTGTGAGAGGGTGAGGCTGTGAGGGAGGGTGAGGCTGTGAGAGGGTGAGGCTGTGAGAGAGGGTGAGGCTGTGAGAGAGGGTGAGGCTGTGAGAGGGTGAGGCTGTGAGAGAGGGTGAGGCTGTGAGGGAGGTGAGGCTGTGAGAGAGGGTGAGGCTGTGAGGGAGGGTGAGGCTGTGAGGGAGGGTGAGGCTGTGAGGGAGGGTGAGGCTGTGAGGGAGGGTGAGGCTGTGAGGAGGGTGAGGCTGTGAGGGAGGGTGAGGCTGTGAGGGAGGGTGAGGCTGTGAGGGAGGGTGAGGCTGTGAGGGAGGGTGAGGCTGTGAGGGAGGGTGAGGCTGTGAGAGGGAGGGTGAGGCTGTGAGGGAGGGTGAGGCTGTGAGGGAGGGTGAGGCTGTGAGGAGGGTGAGGCTGTGAGGGAGGGTGAGGCTGTGAGAGGGTGAGGCTGTGAGGGAGGGTGAGGCTGGTGAGCTGTGAGGGTGAGGCTGTGAGGGAGGGTGAGGCTGTGAGGAGGGTGAGGCTGTGAGGGAGGGTGAGGCTGTGAGAGGGTGAGGCTGTGAGGGAGGGTGAGGCTGTGAGAGGGTGAGGCTGTGAGGGAGGGTGAGGCTGTGAGGGAGGGTGAGGCTGTGAGGAGGGTGAGGCTGTGAGGGAGGGTGAGGCTGTGAGGGAGGGTGAGGCTGTGAGGGAGGGTGAGGCTGTGAGGGAGGGTGAGGCTGTGAGAGGGTGAGGCTGTGAGGCTGTGAGGGAGGGTGAGGCTGTGAGGGAGGGTGAGGCTGTGAGAGGGTGAGGCTGTGAGGGAGGGTGAGGCTGTGAGATGCACTGCCTCAGCTGTTAATGATGTAATACAAACCTGCGCAGGTTTGTTACACTCACAGACATGTCACATGTGTTCATGTCTAACATGCGTTCATGTCTAACATGCATGTTTCCCACAGACATGTCTAACATGTGTTCATGTCTAACATGTGTTCATGTCTAACATGCGTTCCCACAGACATGTCTAACATAATAACATGTGTTCCCACAGACATGTCTAACATGTACACGCTGCTGAGGGCGGTGTCAAACGGACTGCCTCATATGATCCAGGAGCTACAGCTGCACATCCACAACGAGGGTCTCAGAGGAACCAGCAACCTTTCTCAGGAAAACGTCAGTCCTCTCTTCTCTCCTCTCTCTCTTCTCCTACCTCTTCTCTCTCCTCCTCTCTTCTCGTCTCTACTCCTCTCTCCTCCTCTCTTCTCCTCTCTCCCCCTCTCTCCTCCTCTCTTCTCCTCTCTCCTCCTCTCTCTTCTCCTCTCTCCCCCTCTCTTCTCCTCTCTTCTCGTCTCTACTCCTCTCTCCTCCTCTCTTCTCCTCTCTCCTCCTCTCTCTTCTCCTCCCCCCCTCTCTCCTCCTCCCCCCCTCTCCTCTCCCCCCTCTCTCTCTCCTCTTTCTCACCTCTTCTCACCTCTTCTCCTCTCTTCTCCTCTCTCTCCCTCGTCTCTTCTCCTCTCTCCTCACCTCTTCTCTCTCTTCTCCTACCTCTTCTCTCCTCTTCTCCTCCTCCCCCCTCTCTCCTCCTCTCTCTCCTCTCTTCTCCTCTCTCCTCCTCTCTTCTCGTCTCTTCTCTCCTCCTCTCTCCTCATCTCCTCTTTCTCCTCTCTCTTCTCTCCTCTTCTCCTCCTCCTCTCTCCTTCTCCTCCTCCTCTCTCCTTCTCCTCCTCCTCTTCCTCTGTCCTCTCTCCTCCTCTGTAACCTTCTCTGGTTCCAGATGCCGACGCAGTTTGTTGAGTCCGTGTTGGAAGTTCACAGTAAATTTGTGCAGCTCATAAACACAGTTCTGAACGGAGACCAGCACTTCATGAGCGCTTTGGACAAGGTACTGTAACTGTGGCACCGTTACTGTGGTACTGTTACTATGGTACTGTTACTGTGGTACTGTTACTGTGGTACTGTTACTGTGGTACCGTTACTGTGGTACTGTTACTGTGGTACTGTTACTGTGGTACTGTTACTGTGGTACCGTTACTGTGGTACTGTTACTGTGATACTGTTACTGTGGTACTGTTACTGTGGTACTGTTACTGTGGTACTGTTACTGTGGTACCGTTACTGTGGTACCGTTACTGTGGTACTGTTACTGTGGTTGGTACTGTTACTGTGGTACTGTTACTGTGGTACTGTTACTGTGGTACCGTTACTGTGGTACCGTTACTGTGGTACTGTTACTGTGGTACTGTTACTGTGGTACTGTTACTGTGGTACCGGTTACTGTGGTACCGTTACTGTGATACTGTTACTGTGGTACTGTTACTGTGGTAGTTACCGTTACTGTGGTACTGTTACTGTGGTACTGTTACTGTGGTACTGTTACTGTGGTACTGTTACTGTGGTACCGTTACTGTGGTACTGTTACTGTGATACTGTTACTGTGATACTGTTACTGTGGTACTGTTACTGTGGTACTGTTACTGTGGTACCGTTACTGTGGTACCGTTACTGTGGTACTGTTACTGTGGTACTGTTACTGTGGTACCGTTACTGTGGTACCGTTACTGTGGTATTACTGTGGTATTACTATGGTACTGTTACTGTGGTACTGTTACTGTGGTACCGTTACTGTGGCACTGTTACTATGGTACTGTTACTGTGGTACTGTTACTATGGTACTGTTACTGTGGTACTGTTACTGTGGTATTACTGTGGTACCGTTACTGTGGCACCGTTACTATGGTACTGTTACTGTGGTACTGTTACTGTGGTATTACTGTGGTACCGTTATTGTGGTATTACTGTGGTACCGTTACTGTGGTACCGTTACTGTGGTATCGTTACTGTGGTGTTACTATGGTACCGTTACTGTGGTACCGTTACTGTGGTGTTACTATGGTACCGTTACTGTGGTACCGTTACTGTGGTGTTACTATGGTACTGTTACTATGGTACCATTACTGTGGTACCATTACTGTGGTACTGTTACTCTGGTTCTGTTACTCTGGTACCGACTGTTACTATGTTTCTGTTACTCTGGTACTGACTAGTAACTCTGGTACCAACTGTTACTATGTTTCTGTTACTCTGGTACTGACTAGTAACTCTGGTACCAACTGTTACTATGTTTCTGTTACTCTGGTACTGACTAGTAACTCTGGTACCAACTGTTACTATGTTTCTGTTACTCTGGAACTGTTACTCTGGTACTGACTGTTACTCTGGTACCGACTGTTACTATGTTTCGGTTACTCTGGAACTGTTACTCTGGTACCGACTGTTACTATGTTTCTGTTACTCTGGAACTGTTACTCTGGTACCGACTGTTACTATGTTTCTGTTACTCTGGTACTGACTGTTACTCTGGTTCTGTTTATCTGGTACTGATTGTTGCTCTGGTACCGACTGCCTGTTGATATCCATGTTAGTACCAGGCAGATCTCTGCAGCTGTGCAGGACAGGGTCTGGTTAGTAATGTGATGGGAGACCTCTGAAGCTAAGCAGGGCAGGGCCTGGTTAGTGCTGTGATGGGAGGCTGTAAAGTGCCAAACTGTGGTTGTGTCCTTAGGCAAGACACTTCCCCCACATTAGACTGAGTCTGGTGTGTGTGTGTGTGTGTGTGTGTGTGTGTGTGTGTGTGTGTGTGTGTGTGAATGGTTGGTGGTGGTGGTGGAAGACTAGTTGCCTCGCTTCTGTCAGTGTGCCCCAGGGCAGCTGTGGCTACAGTAGTAGTTTATCACCACTGTGTTTAGAGAGAATGAGTAATTTTAAGTTTGTTGTTTATTTACCTGTTAATCATAAATATATTGTTTCATCTACTTTTGTTTAAGGCTTTGACGTCAGTGGTCAACTACAGGGAACCCAAGTCCATCTGCAAAGCACCAGAACTGGTGAGACGCACACAGACACAGACACACACACAGAGACACACACACACAGAGACACACACACAGAGACACACACACAGAGACACACACACAGAGACACACACACAGAGACACACACAGACGCACACACAGACGCACACAGAGACGCACACAGAGACGCACACAGAGACGCACACAGAGACGCACACAGAGACGCACACAGAGACGCACACAGAGACGCACACAGAGACGCACACAGAGACGCACACAGAGACGCACACAGAGACGCACACAGAGACGCACACAGAGACGCACACAGAGACGCACACAGAGACGCACACAGAGACGCACACAGAGACGCACACAGAGACGCACACAGAGACGCACACAGAGACGCACACAGAGACGCACACAGAGACGCACACAGAGACGCACACAGAGACGCACACAGAGACGCACACAGAGACGCACACAGAGACACACACAGAGACACGCACAGACGCACACACACAGCACTTGTGTGTCTCACCCTCCCCTCGGCTGCAGCTCGCCAAATACTGCGATAACCTCCTGAAGAAATCAGCCAAAGGAATGACAGAGAACGAGGTGGAAGACAAGCTCACCAGCTTCATCACCGTCTTTAAGTACATCGACGACAAGGACATCTTCCAGAAGGTACACACACACACACACACACATACACACACACACACACACACACACACACACACACACACACTAGAGGTGCACCGATCAGGATTTTTTTGGCCGATCACCGATTGTTAAAATTTTGATCGGCCAATACCGATCATTGCCAATCCGATCAAATATTGAAAATATTAGTGATAAATGAATAGGACTAGTTATTCACTTTATAACTAATCTTCCAAAATCTGCGACACTGTAGGACTGTCTGTACTACCACTACACTCATCTTAATTGAATATTTCTGTGAACATAACATGCAAACTCCTGACACAGGGTGTTTCTGCCTGACGGTAGCGTCTCGCTGCTGAGTGTGTTCGGTGTGACTCTGGCTCGTTGTTATAATAGATCCATCCTCTGGACTGTCAATGTGAGAGTATACATTTTGGTAAAGCTGTGACAGGCAGACATCAGTCAGATATCTCCGCGATGGCAGATTGAAGAAGTGGACATGAGCTGTTTGAACCCAGTGCTTTCCGCAACAGACGAGCATATTTCGTGTTGTTTCTTACGTCATTACTGTGTGGTTGTTGCCGCTACTGAGAGCTGCATGAGTTGCTTGTTTACGCAGTTTTGACGAGAGAACGTAACTTGTGCGCATGAATCCTCATGTCAACTGATCGGTCTTTGTGATCGGCACATTTCACCGATCGCCGATCACGCCGATTATAATCGGCTACCGATGGAGCGGTGCACTTCTAATGCACACAGACACACCCACACATGCACACACACACACACACACACAGAGACAGACACATATTTTCTTGAGTTAAAATGTTTTGTGTGGTTCTTTGAAAGTTAGATGTATGACCTGCAGCCATCTTCAGAACCGTCCCGGGACAGCTGATGGCACTTCCTGAGTGGGCGTGGTCAGTTCTGAAGATGGCTCGCTGCTCTGCAGCTGAAACATGTTTTTACATCTAACTTGCTTTTCAAAAGGACAAAAACACTCTAGACCCAAGTCTTACAGGTCTTTGATTCAGACCCAGGTCTTACAGATCTATAAATGAAGATTATTTACCCATTTAAACACACTGACATGTGTCTGTTGTCCAGAGCATATGAACCACAGACCTGTAAACCCACACTGACATGTCTGTTGTCCATGTCACTCCCGTATTTGTCCCGGAAACCGGATTCGTCCGGAAGTTCAGTTTGATCCAATGAGCATAAGCAGCAGTAGATTACGTCACGGAATTGTGCTGATAGTGTATTACAGCTACACCAGCAGGGGGCACTCTAAGGTTAAGAGTGAGTCGAAGAAGACTCAGAGACATGTGATACCTGCTGAAGCTTAATAAAGAAGCTAACGAACCCAGATCCATTTTTATTGTTTTATCAAAACATTACATGGTACCAGGAGTGGTCATATGAAGACGGACATTATGGAAAGTGTGAAGCCGCCAGATGCCGTCAATTGGACTGGAAATGTTGACTGTGAGTGGTGTACTTTTAAACAGCGATTCCAGCTGTATTTGCAAGCTATCGGGCTAGATAGCAAGCCAGACGCGCGGAAGATTGCACTGCTTCACACCGTGGCTGGGCCACAAGCAGTAGAAGTCTACAACACGTTTATTTTTGCCGATGGTGATAGAGACAAGTTTGATGTGGTTGTTGCACTGTTCTCCCAAAAAGAATGAAACATTTGAAAGGTACGTTTTTCGTTCCCGCATACAGCAACCTGCGGAAAGCTTCGACACGTTTTTGACGGACTTAAAGCTAAAGGTCTAAAACAAGCAACTTTGGGTTCCTTCAAGAATCAATGATCCGAGACCAAATTGTTTTTGGAATAAAGGATACAAAGATAAGAGAGCGTCTGTTGAGAGAAACTGAGTTAACATTGGAGGGTGCTGTGAAAATCTGTCATGCTAGTGAACTTGCCTTACAACACGCTAAAAACTTTAGTGGAGTGGCGAGGGAGGCTGATGCAGACGGGACACCAGTTGCTGCGGTATCACGACAAGGCTACAAATACAAAATGAGCAACAAAGGCGCAAAAGAAACGGAAATGAATAACTGTAAAAGATGTGGCACAAAACATGCGAGGCAACAATGTCCAGCATATGGTAAAATATGCAACAAGTGCAAAGGACAAAATCATTTTGCAAATCAATGCTTTTCAAAAAGTAAGAAAAGTCAAAAAGACAGAGTGAACACTGTGGATGAATGATTTTTGTGGGCATGGTGATGCAGCAAGTGGATGGAAACATTGCCAGTAAATGGAGCCCTGGTCACATTCAAACTGGACACAGGAGCTAAGGCTTGTGAACAAACTGGATCTGAAAGCAATGAAAATAAAGCCAAAGATCAATCAAAACAACTCACTCCAGGTCTACAATGGTCAACCAATCGACACCAAAGGAAAATGCAGACTCAAGGTAAAGATTAAAGGCAAGTATTACAGTCTCTGGTTTATTGTGGTACCTGAAGGACACCAGTCTCTGCTAGGTGATCAAGCATGTGAAAAACTAGGCCTTGTCAGAAGAGTGTACAGCATTAACACGACTGAGCATAACATGGTGAAAACGATTGTCGACCAGTACCCAGAAATATTCCAAGGGTTCGGTGTTTTGCCTTTCACCTACAAAATACAATTGAAAGATGGTGCTCAGCCTGTAGTGCATGCTCCTCGACGGGTTCCTGCAGCATTAAAAGAAAAGCTCAAGCAGGAAGTTGACCGAATGGAGTCACTGCAGGTAATACGGAAGGTGGAGGAGCCCACAGAATGGGTTAACTCCATGGTGTGCATCAATAAACCAATCGGTGCTCTGTGAGTGTGCATGGATCCAAAGGATTTGAATGAAAATATAAAGAGAGAGCACTACCAAATCCCAACTAGAGAGGAAATAACGAGTGAAATGGCAGGTGCAACTGATTTTTCTAAACTGGACGCGTAGCAAGGATTTTGGCAGATAAAGCTACATGAGGAAAGCACAAAGTACTTCAACACACCATATGGACGATACTGCTTTTTGAGGATACCTTTTGGAATTTCTTCAGCCCCTGAGGTTTTTCATCTATCAATGGAGCATATGATTGAGGGCATTGAAGGAGTACGTGTGTATGTCGACGACGTCGTACTGTGGGGAGCCACAGTTGAAGAGCATAATGAGAGACTTGCCAAAGTACTGCAAAGAGTCAAAGGGTATGGGCTCAAGCTGAATAGATCAAAGTGTCAGTTTGGTGTTACAGAAATCACCTTTCTTGGTGACAAGCTGTCAAAAGCCAGACAAGAACAAGATTCAGGCCATACTAGGTATGCCACGCCCAGAGGACAAGAAAGGAGTTTTGAGGGCGCTTGGGATGATAAACTTCCTCGGAAAATTCATACCGAACTTGTCGTCATAAACAGTACACCTGAGACAACTTCTACATGAAGGAATTGAGGTTAAATGGAGTGACAAGCTGGAAAAGGAATGGCTGCAACTACAAAAAACTCTAACCTCAGAGCCAGTACTTGGGCGGCACGGTGGCTGAGTGGATAGCACTCTCGCCTCTCAGCAAGATTGTCCTGGGTTCGAGTGGAGTTTGCATGTTCTCCCCGTGTCTGCGTAGGTTTCCTCCGGGTGCTCCGGTTTCCCCTACCACTAAAAATATGTACAATAGGTCTGGCATGTGCCTCCTGTACTGGCACTCCCGTTCCCAAAAATAACAATTGTAAACCTCTTTGAGACTCCGATGTGCAGTGAAAAGGCGGTATATAAATAAAGACTACTTACTACTACTACTACTACTTGCATATTTTGATGCGAGGAGAAAGACCAAGATATCTACAGATTCATCAAAGGATAGAATTGGAGCTGTGCTATTACAAGCATACAGAGACAACTGGAGGCCAGTGGCCTACGCCTCAAGAGCAATGACTGCAGCAGAATACCGGTATGCACAAATTGAAAATGAGACTTGTTTATGGATTTGAAAAGTTCCACAGCTATGTTTATGGCTTGCCAACATTTGTGGCAGAGACAGATCACAAGCCGCTGATAGCCATCATAAAGAAAAACCTCTGTGAAATGTCTCCACGCATCCAACGGCTCATGAAGTTACAACGCTATGACTTCAACCTGATCTACACGCCAAGTAAACTTATTGTGATAGCAGATGCTCTGTCTAGTGCCACAAAGCAAAACAAAGACCCAAGTACAACAGAGACTGATGTCAATCTATATGTTGATCTGGTAGCTGAATCACTCCCTGTGTCAGACACAAAAACCAAACTGATAGCAGCTGAGACACAGAAAAACACTAATCTGCAAAAAGTAATAACACTGTTAAATGGGAAATGGCCAAGAGGTGAATGCCAACCATATTACAACATAAGAGCAGAGAGCTAAGTGTAATCAATGGACTTTTATTAAGAGACCGGATAGTGATTCCACATTCACTGAGACAGGACATGCTCAAAAGACTGCATGAAGGGCATCTAGGCATAGAGAAATGCACTTAGTCAAACAGTTACTTAAGAAAGCGCAGGACAGCAAGGCAGATCCTTATTTGGCACTCTTGAGTTACAGAGCTTCTCCTTTAGAACATGGCAAATCTCCTGCAGAAATCCTAATGGGAAGACAACTGCGAACCACTTTTCCATACAAATCTGCACGGAAGCACAAACGGGTGAATGACCAAATGAGAAAGTTGCAAAAGAGACAAAAGACAAATTATGACAAATCCTCAGTCAGTCTAAAACCATTCACTCCCAAAGACACAGTCAGAGTGGAGGACGCTAACATCTGGACAAGAAAAGCAACTGTGCTTGAGGAAGTGAGCCCCAGGTCTTACAATGTGCTCACTGATGATGGACTGATTCTAAGGAGAAACCGAAGGAGTTTACTGAAAACAACCGATGGACAGTGTGAGAGTAACAGCTCAACATCATTGGAGCCAAACTCACCTGTGAAGGACAGTGTCGAGCCACGTGACCAATCACCCGAGCTCAGAAGATCACCACGCACTGTTTAACCACCTGAGAGACTGAATTTGTGAAGTGTTTGTTGTGCTAAAAGAAGACATAAAAGTTATGTTGAGCATGTCACGTTTGCTTTATGTTGTTGCACATTTTCTTTGGAAAATATGTGAGTTTGTGGGTTAATAAGGCTATATGTTTAGTACTTTTGTTTGTGTTATCTAAAGAAAGGGGGATGTGCTGATAGTGTATTACAGCTACACCAGCAGGGGGCACTCTAAGGTTAAGAGTGAGTCGAAGAAGACTCAGAGACATGTGATACCTGCTGAAGCTTAATAAAGAAGCTAACGAACCCAGATCCATTTTTATTGTTTTATCAAAACATTACAGGAATCTGGACGGAAGCGCAAGTAAATATAACAAACTACCTATTCAGGCCTAAACTTAACCAGCCATTCCCATAAAATAACCCCAACCCACCTTAACCCTAACCGTAACCATCTTACTCAGACCACCTTAACCCTAACCTTAACCATCTTACTCAGATCCACCTTAACCCTAACCTTAACCATCTTACTCAGACCACCCTAACCTTAACCTTAACCATCTTACTCAGACCCACCTTAACCCTAACCTTAACCATCTTACTCAGATCCACCTTAACCCTAACCTTAACCATCTTACTCAGACCACCTTAACCCTAACCTTAACCATCTTACTCAGACCACCTTAACCCTAACCTTAACCATCTTACCCAGACCACCTTAACCCTAACCTTAACCATCTTACTCAGACCACCTTAACCCTAACCTTAACCATCTTACTCAGACCACCTTAACCCTAACCTTAACCATCTTACTCAGACCACCTTAACCCTAACCTTAACCATCTTACCCAGACCACCTTAACCCTAACCTTAACCATCTTACTCAGACCACCTTAACCCTAACCTTAACCATCTTACTCAGACCACCTTAACCCTAACCTTAACCATCTTACTCAGACCACCTTAACCCTAACCTTAACCATCTTACTCAGACCACCTTAACCCTAACCTTAACCATCTTACTCAGACCACCTTAACCCTAACCTTAACCATCTTACTCAGACCACCTTAACCCTAACCTTAACCATCTTACTCAGACCACCTTAACCCTAACCTTAACCATCTTACTCAGACCACCTTAACCCTAACCTTAACCATCTTACCCAGACCACCTTAACCCTAACCGTAACCATCTTACTCAGACCACCTTAACCCTAACCTTAACCATCTTACTCAGACCCACCTTAACCCTAACCTTAACCATCTTACTCAGACCACCTTAACCCTAACCTTAACCATCTTACTCAGACCACCTTAACCCTAACCTTAACCATCTTACTCAGACCACATTAACCCTAACCTTAACCATCTTACTCAGACCACCTTAACCCTAACCTTAACCATCTTACTCAGACCACCTTAACCCTAACCTTAACCATCTTACTCAGACCACCTTAACCCTAACCTTAACCATCTTACTCAGACCACCTTAACCCTAACCTTAACCATCTTACTCAGACCACCTTAACCCTAACCTTAACCATCTTACTCAGACCACCTTAACCCTAACCTTAACCATCTTACTCAGACCACCTTAACCCTAACCTTAACCATCTTACTCAGACCACCTTAACCCTAACCTTAACCATCTTACTCAGACCACCTTAACCCTAACCTTAACCATCTTACCCAGACCACCTTAACCCTAACCTTAACCATCTTACTCAGACCCACCTTAACCCTAACCTTAACCATCTTACTCAGACCACCTTAACCCTAACCTTAACCATCTTACTCAGACCACCTTAACCCTAACCTTAACCATCTTACTCAGACCACCTTAACCCTAACCTTAACCATCTTACTCAGACCACCTTAACCCTAACCTTAACCATCTTACCCAGACCACCTTAACCCTAACCGTAACCATCTTACTCAGACCACCTTAACCCTAACCTTAACCATCTTACTCAGACCCACCTTAACCCTAACCTTAACCATCTTACTCAGACCACCTTAACTCTAACCTTAACCATCTTACTCAGACCACCTTAACCCTAACCTTAACCATCTTACTCAGACCCACCTTAACCCTAACCTTAACCATCTTACTCAGACCACCTTAACTCTAACCTTAACCATCTTACTCAGACCACCTTAACCCTAACTTTAACCATCTTACTCAGACCACCTTAACCCTAACCTTAACCATCTTACTCAGACCACCTTAACCCTAACCTTAACCATCTTACTCAGACCCACCTTAACCCTAACCTTAACCATCTTACTCAGACCACCTTAACCCTAACCTTAACCATCTTACTCAGACCCACCTTAACCCTAACCTTAACCATCTTACTCAGACCACCTTAACCCTAACCTTAACCATCTTACTCAGACCACCTTAACCCTAACCTTAACCATCTTACTCAGACCACCTTAACCCTAACCTTAACCATCTTACTCAGACCCACCTTAACCCTAACCTTAACCATCTTACTCAGACCACCTTAACCCTAACCTTAACCATCTTACTCAGACCACCTTAACCCTAACCTTAACCATCTTACTCAGCCCACCTTAACCCTAACCTTAACCATCTTACTCAGACCACCTTAACCCTAACCTTAACCATCTTACTCAGACCCACCTTAACCCTAACCTTAACCATCTAACTCAGACCACCTTAACCCTAACCTTAACCATCTTACTCAGACCACCTTAACCCTAACCTTAACCATCTTACTCAGACCACCTTAACCCTAACCTTAACCATCTAACTCAGACCCACCTTAACCCTAACCTTAACCATCTTACTCAGACCACCTTAACCCTAACCTTAACCAGTCACCACTTAATGACTTATTACACTTTTTGACATGCACAAACTGAACTTCCGGACGAATCCGGTTTCCGGGACATATACGGGAGTGACAGTCCAGATGAACCACAGACCTGTAAACTGACATGTGTCTGTTGTCCAGATGAACCACAGACCTGTAAACTGACATGTGTCTGTTGTCCAGATGAACCACAGACCTGTAAACTGACATGTGTCTGTTGTCCAGATGAACCACAGACCTGTAAACTGACATGTGTCTGTTGTCCAGATGAACCACAGACCTGTAAACTGACATGTGTCTGTTGTCCAGATGAACCACAGACCTGTAAACTGACATGTGTCTGTTGTCCAGATGAACCACAGACCTGTAAACTGACATGTGTCTGTTGTCCAGATGAACCACAGACCTGTAAACTGACATGTGTCTGTTGTCCAGATGAACCACAGACCTGTAAACTGACATGTGTCTGTGTTTGTAGTTTTATGCCAGAATGCTCGCTAAGAGATTAATACACGGTCTGTCGTTATCTATGGACTCGGAAGAAGCCATGATCAACAAACTGAAGGTACGTCTCCCCTCCTCCCCCCCTCACCCCCTCTGCTCCTCCCCCCCTCACCCCCTCTGCTCCTCCCCCCCTCACCCCCTCTGCTCCTCCCCCCTGCAGACACTCTCTCTCACCCTCCTCCCCCTGCAGACACTCTCTCTCACCCTCCTCCCCCTGCAGACACTCTCTCACCCTCCTCCCCCCTGCAGACACTCTCTCACCCTCCTCCCCCTGCAGACACTCTCTCTCCCTCCTCCCCCCTGCAGACACTCTCTCTCACCCTCCTCCCCCTGCAGACACTCTCTCACCCTCCTCCCCCCTGCAGACACTCTCTCACCCTCCTCCCCCTGCAGACTCTCTCTCACCCTCCTCCCCCTGCAGACACTCTCTCTCACCCTCCTCCCCCTGCAGACACTCTCTCTCACCCTCCTCCCCCTGCAGACACTCTCTCTCACCCTCCTCACCCCTGCAGACACTCTCTCACCCACCTCCCCCTGCAGACACTCTCTCTCACCCTCCTCCCCCTGCAGACACTCTCTCTCCCCCTCCTCCCCCCTGCAGACACTCTCTCTCACCCTCCTCCCCCCTGCAGACACTCTCTCTCACCCTCCTCCCCCCCTGCAGACACTCTCTCTCACCCTCCCTCCCCCCTGCAGACACTCTCTCTCACCCTCCTCCCCCTGCAGACACTCTCTCTCACCCTCCTCACCCCTGCAGACACTCTCTCACTCTGTGTGCCTCCCCCTCTGTGCAGCAAGCGTGTGGGTATGAGTTCACCAGTAAGCTGCACCGCATGTACACGGACATGAGCGTCAGCGCAGACCTCAACAACAAGTTCAACAACTTCATCAAGACACAAGACTCTGTGGTCGACCTGGGAATCAGCTTCCAAATCTATGTACTACAGGTACAACACACACACAGGTACACACACACCTGGGAATCAGCTTCCAAATCTATGTACTACAGGTACAACACACACACAGGTACACACACACCTGGGAATCAGCTTCCAAATCTATGTACTACAGGTACAACACACACACAGGTACACACAGGTACAACACACACCTGGGAATCAGCTTCCAAATCTATGTACTACAGGTACAACACACACACAGGTACACACACACCTGGGAATCAGCTTCCAAATCTATGTACTACAGGTACAACACACACACAGGTACACACAGGTACAACACACACCTGGGAATCAGCTTCCAAATCTATGTACTACAGGTACAACACACACACAGGTACACACAGGTACAACACACACCTGGGAATCAGCTTCCAAATCTATGTACTACAGGTACAACACACACGCTCAGGTCTGTCGTGAAATCTGTGTGGATTTAGGCTGCAGTACCACTGGTGGCCTCTAGTCCATGTGGAGACTGGTTTTACATTATCTGTCTGACCTGTGTGTTGTGCGTCTGACCTGGGTGTTGTGTGTTTGACCTGTGTGTTGTGCGTCTGACCTGTGTGTTGTGCGTCTGACCTGTGTCTTGTGCGTCTGACCTGTATGTTGTGCGTCTGACCTGTGTGTTGTGCGTCCAGGCAGGGGCGTGGCCTCTCACACACGTGCCGTCATCGACCTTTGCCATCCCTCAGGAGCTGGAGAAGAGTGTGCAGATGGTGAGTGTGTTTCTGCTACACAAATGTGTGTTTCTGATACACGCATGTGTGTCGGCTAAACAACCTTCATCTTTTTCCAACAGTTCGAGTTGTTCTATAATCAACATTTCAGTGGCAGGAAACTGACGTGGCTGCACTACCTCTGCACAGGTAAGTCTGGGCTCTCTCTGGTCTCTCTCTGGTCTCTCTCTGGTCTCTCTCTGGTCTCTCTCTGGTCTCTCTCTGGTCTCTCTCTGGTCTCTCTCTCTGGTCTCTCTCTGGTCTCTCTCTGGTCTCTCTCTGGTCTCTCTCTGGTCTCTCTCTGGTCTCTCTCTCTGGTCTCTCTCGCTCTGGTCTCTCTCTGGTCTCTCTCTGGTCTCTCTCTCTGGTCTCTCTCTCTGGTCTCTCTCTGGTCTCTCTCTGGTCTCTCTCTGGTCTCTCTCTGGTCTCTCTCTCTGGTCTCTCTCGCTCTGGTCTCTCTCTGGTCTCTCTCTGGTCTCTCTCTGGTCTCTCTCTCTGGTCTCTCTCTCTGGTCTCTCTCTGGTCTCTCTCTGGTCTCTCTCTGGTCTCTCTCTGGTCTCTAACAGTAGTGATTCCCCAGGTGAGGTGAAGATGAACTATCTGTCTAAGCCCTACGTTGCCATGGTGACCACCTACCAGATGGCGGTGCTGTTGGCCTTTAACAACAGTCTGACAGTGAGCTACAAGGAGCTGGAGGACGGGACTCAGATGAACGACAAGGAACTGCAGAAGACCATCAAGTCTCTGATGGACGTCAAAATGATCCACCACGACTCAGAGAAGGTCCTACAACCATCTAGGACTGAGGCTGTAGACCCAGGACTGAGGCTGTAGACCAGGACTGAGGCTGTAGACCAGGACTGAGGCTGTAGACCAGGACTGAGGCTGTAGACCCAGGACTGAGGCTGTAGACCCAGGACTGAGGCTGTAGACCCAGGACTGAGGCTGTAGACCCAGGACTGAGGCTGTAGACCCAGGACTGAGGCTGTAGACCCAGGACTGAGGCTGTAGACCCAGGACTGAGGTTGTAGACCCAGGACTCAGACTGTAGAACGAGGACTGAGGCTGTTGTTCTTGTTTCAGGAGGAAATTGAAACAGAGTCGACGTTTTCACTAAATATGAGTTTTTCGAGTAAACGAACAAAGTTCAAGATCACGACGTCGATGCAGAAAGATACGCCACAGGTGAACTCTAACTAACTCTAACTTAACTCTAACTTAACTCTAACTAACTCTAACTGACTCTAACTTAATTCTAACTTAACTCTAAATGATGTAGTAAATAATCTAACTGGGTTTAACTCCCGCACAAACCAATGATTAGTGAATGGAAAGGGCCACAGCCCCATGGTCCTTCCAGATGTCCACAGCCCCATGGTCCTTCCAGATGTCCACAGCCCCATGGTCCTTCCAGATGTCCACAGCCCCATGGTCCTTCCAGATGTCCACAGCCCCATGGTCCTTCCAGATGTCCACAGCCCCATGGTCCTTCCAGAGGGCCACAACCCCATGGTCCTTCCAGAGGTCCACAGCCCCATGGTCCTTCCAGAGGTCCACAGCCCCATGGTCCTTCCAGAGGTCCACAGCCCCATGGTCCTTCCAGAGGTCCACAGCCCCATGGTCCTTCCAGAGGTCCACAGCCCCATGGTCCTTCCCAGATGTTCACAGCCCCATGGTCCTTCCCAGATGTTCACAGCCCCATGGTCCTTCCCAGATGTTCACAGCCCCATGGTCCTTCCCAGATGTTCACAGCCCCATGGTCCTTCCAGAAGTCCACAGCCCCATGGCCCTTCCAGAGGTCCACAGCCCCATGGTCCTTCCCAGATGTTCACAGCCCCATGGTCCTTCCCAGATGTTCACAGCCCCATGGTCCTTCCCAGATGTTCACAGCCCCATGGTCCTTCCAGAGGTCCACAGCCCCATGGTCCTTCCCAGATGTTCACAGCCCCATGGTCCTTCCAGAGGTCCACAGCCCCATGGTCCTTCCCAGATGTTCACAGCCCTATGGTCCTTCCAGAGGTCCACAGCCCCATGGTCCTTCCCAGATGTTCACAGCCCCATGGTCCTTCCAGAGGTCCACAGCCCCATGGTCCTTCCCAGATGTTCACAGCCCCATGGTCCTTCCAGAGGTCCACAGCCCCATGGTCCTTCCCAGAGGTCCACAGCCCCATGGTCCTTCCCAGATGTTCACAGCCCCATGGTCCTTCCAGAGGTCCACAGCCCCATGGTCCTTCCAGAGGTCCACAGCCCCATGGTCCTTCCAGAGGTCCACAGCCCGATGGTCCTTCCAGAGGTCCACAGCCCCATGGTCCTTCCCAGAGGTCCACAGCCCCATGGTCCTTCCCAGATGTTCACAGCCCCATGGTCCTTCCCAGATGTTCACAGCCCCATGGTCCTTCCCAGAGGTCCACAGCCCCATGGTCCTTCCCAGAGGTCCACAGCCCCATGGTCCTTCCCAGAGGTCCACAGCCCCATGGTCCTTCCCAGATGTTCACAGCCCCATGGTCCTTCCAGAGGTCCACAGCCCCATGGTCCTTCCAGAGGTCCACAGCCCCATGGTCCTTCCCAGATGTTCACAGCCCCATGGTCCTTCCAGAGGTCCACAGCCCCATGGTCCTTCCCAGATGTTCACAGCCCTATGGTCCTTCCAGAGGTCCACAGCCCCATGGTCCTTCCCAGATGTTCACAGCCCCATGGTCCTTCCAGAGGTCCACAGCCCCATGGTCCTTCCCAGATGTTCACAGCCCCATGGTCCTTCCAGAGGTTCACAGCCCCATGGTCCTTCCCAGAGGTCCACAGCCCATGGTCCTTCCCAGATGTTCACAGCCCCATGGTCCTTCCAGAGGTCCACAGCCCCATGGTCCTTCCAGAGGTCCACAGCCCCATGGTCCTTCCAGAGGTCCACAGCCCGATGGTCCTTCCAGAGGTCCACAGCCCCATGGTCCTTCCCAGAGGTCCACAGCCCCATGGTCCTTCCCAGATGTTCACAGCCCCATGGTCCTTCCCAGATGTTCACAGCCCCATGGTCCTTCCCAGATGTTCACAGCCCCATGGTCCTTCCCAGATGTTCACAGCCCCATGGTCCTTCCCAGAGGTCCACAGCCCCATGGTCCTTCCCAGAGGTCCACAGCCCCATGGTCCTTCCCAGAGGTCCACAGCCCCATGGTCCTTCCCAGATGTTCACAGCCCCATGGTCCTTCCCAGATGTTCACAGCCCCATGGTCCTTCCCAGATGTTCACAGCCCCATGGTCCTTCCCAGATGTTCACAGCCCCATGGTCCTTCCCAGATGTTCACAGCCCCATGGTCCTTCCAGAGGTCCACAGCCCCATGGTCCTTCCCAGATGTTCACAGCCCCATGGTCCTTCCCAGATGTTCACAGCCCCATGGTCCTTCCAGAGGTCCACAGCCCCATGGTCCTTCCCAGATGTTCACAGCCCCATGGTCCTTCCAGAGGTCCACAGCCCCATGGTCCTTCCAGAGGTCCACAGCCCCATGGTCCTTCCCAGATGTTCACAGCCCCATGGTCCTTCCAGATGTCCACAGCCCCATGGTCCTTCCAGAGGTCCACAGCCCCATGGTCCTTCCAGATGTCCACAGCCCCATGGTCCTTCCAGAGGTCCACAGCCCCATGGTCCTTCCCAGAGGTCCACAGCCCCATGGTCCTTCCAGAGGTCCACAGCCCCATGGTCCTTCCAGAGGTCCACAGCCCCATGGCCCCCAACACAGTTTTATACATGAAGATACATACATAAATATAATAGAAGTTATAATAGCAGACACCACACTGACTCTAACTAAACTCTAACTGACTCTAACTAAACTCTAACTGACTAACTAAACTCTAACTTAACTTAACTCTAACTAAACTTTAACTAACTAAACTTTAACTGTAACTAAACTTTAACTCTAACTAAACTTTAACTGTAACTAAACTCTAACTGACTAACTAAACTCTAACTAATCTCTAACTTGCAGGAGATGGAACAGACTCGGACGGCGGTGGATGAAGATCGTAAAATGTATTTACAGGCTGCGATCGTTCGGATCATGAAGGCCAGAAAAGTGCTGCGCCACAACGCCCTCATCCAGGAGGTCAGGTGTTCACTCCAAACATGTGTTCACTCCAAACATGTGTTCATTCCAAACATGTGTTCACTCCAAACATGTGTTCACTCCAAACATGTGTTCACTCCAAACATGTGTACACTCCAAACATGTGTACACTCCAAACATGTGTTCACTCCAAACATGTGTTCACTCCAAACATGTGTTCTCTCCAAACATGTGTTCACTCCAAACATGTGTTCTCTCCAAACATGTGTTCACTCCAAACATGTGTTCTCTCCAAACATGTGTTTACCCCAAACATGTGTTCACTCCAAACATGTGTTCACTCCAGACATGTGTTCACTCCAAACATGTGTTCACTCCAAACATGTGTTCTCTCCAAACATGTGTTCTCTCCAAACATATGTTCACTCCAAACATGTGTTCTCTCCAAACATGTGTTTACCCCAAACATGTGTTCACTCCAAACATGTGTTCACTCCAGACATGTGTTCACTCCAGACATGTGTTCACTCCAAACATGTGTTCACCCCAAACATGTGTTCACTCCAAACATGTGTTCACTCCAGACATGTGTTCACTCCAGACATGTGTTCACTCCAAACATGTGTTCACTCCAAACATGTGTTCACTCTAAACATGTGTTCACTCCACATGTGTTCACTCCAAACTTGTGTTCACCCCAAACATGTGTTCACCCCAAACATGTGTTCACCCCAAACATGTGTTTACCCCAAACATGTGTTTACTCCAAACTTGTGTTCACTCCAAACTTGTGTTCACCCCAAACTTGTGTTCACCCCAAACATGTGTTCACCCCAAACATGTGTTCTCTCCAAACATGTGTTTACTACCCCAAACATGTGTTCACCCCAAACATGTGTTTACCCCAAACATGTGTTCACTCCAAACTTGTGTTCACCCCAAACATGTGTTTACCCCAAACATGTGTTTACCCCAAACATGTGTTTACCCCAAACATGTGTTCACTCCAAACATGTGTTCACTCCAAACATGTGTACACTCCAAACATGTGTTCACTCCAAACATGTGTTCACTCCAAACATGTGTTCTCTCCAAACATGTGTTCTCTCCAAACATGTGTTCACTCCAAACATGTGTTCACTCCAAACATGTGTTCACCCCAAACATGTGTTCACCCCAAACATGTGTTCTCTCCAAACATGTGTTTACCCCAAACATGTGTTCACCCCAAACATGTGTTTACCCCAAACATGTGTTCACCCCAAACATGTGTTCTCTCCAAACTTGTGTTCACCCCAAACATGTGTTTACCCCAAACATGTGTTTACTCCAAACTTGTGTTCACCCCAAACATGTGTTTACTACCCCAAACATGTGTTTACCCCAAACATGTGTTCACTCCAAACATGTGTTCACTCCAAACATGTGTTCACTCCAAACATGTGTTCTCTCCAAACATGTGTTCTCTCCAAACATGTGTTCTCTCCAAACATGTGTTCACCCCAAACATGTGTTCTCTACCCCAAACATGTGTTCACCCCAAACATGTGTTTACCCCAAACATGTGTTTACCCCAAACATGTGTTCACTCCAAACATGTGTTCTCTCCAAACATGTGTTTACCCCAAACATGTGTTTACTCCAAACATGTGTACTCTCCAAACATGTGTTCACTCCAAACATGTGTTCACTCCAAACATGTGTTCACCCCAAACGTGTGTTCACCCCAAACATGTGTTCTCTCCAAACATGTGTTTACCCCAAACATGTGTTCACCCCAAACTTGTGTTCACCCCAAACATGTGTTTACCCCAAACATGTGTTCACTCCAAACTTGTGTTCACCCCAAACATGTGTTCACCCCAAACATGTGTTTACTACCCCAAACATGTGTTTACCCCAAATATGTGTTCACTCCAAACTTGTGTTCACCCCAAACATGTGTTTACCCCAAACATGTGTTCACTCCAAACATGTGTTCACTCCAAACATGTGTTCACTCCAAACATGTGTTCTCTCCAAACATGTGTTCTCTCCAAACATGTGTTTACCCCAAACATGTGTTTACCCCAAACATGTGTTTACCCCAAACATGTGTTTACCCCAAACATGTGTTCACTCCAAACTTGTGTTCACTCCAGACATGTGTTCTCTCCAAACATGTGTTCTCTCCAAACATGTGTTCTCTCCAAACATGTGTTCTCTCCAAACATGTGTTTACCCCAAACATGTGTTCACCCCAAACATGTGTTTACCCCAAACATGTGTTTACCCCAAACATGTGTTCTCTCCAAACATGTGTTCACCCGAAACATGTGTTCTCTCCAAACATGTGTTTACTACCCCAAACATGTGTTTACCCCAAACATGTGTTCACTCCAAACTTGTGTTCACCCGAAACATGTGTTTACCCCAAACATGTGTTCTCTCCAAACATGTGTTCACCCCCAACATGTGTTCTCTCCAAACTTGTGTTCACCCCAAACATGTGTTTACCCCAAACATGTGTTTACCCCAAACATGTGTTTACCCCAAACATGTGTTCACTCCAAACTTGTGTTCACTCCAAACATGTGTTCACTCCAGACATGTGTTCACTCCAAACATGTGTTCACTCCAAACATTTGTTCACTCCAAACATGTGTTCTCTCCAAACATGTGTTCTCTCCAAACATGTGTTTACCCCAAACATGTGTTTACCCCAAACATGTGTTCACTCCAAACTTGTGTTCACTCCAGACATGTGTTCTCTCCAAACATGTGTTCTCTCCAAACTTGTGTTCTCTCCAAACATGTGTTCACCCTAAACATGTGTTCTCTCCAAACATGTGTTTACTACCCCAAACATGTGTTTACCCCAAACATGTGTTCACTCCAAACTTGTGTTCACCCGAAACATGTGTTTACCCCAAACATGTGTTCACCCCAAACATGTGTTCACTCCAAACTTGTGTTAACTCCAAACATGTGTTCACTCCAAACATGTGTTCTCTCCAAACATGTGTTCACCCCCAACATGTGTTCTCTCCAAACTTGTGTTCACCCCAAACATGTGTTTACCCCAAACATGTGTTTACCCCAAACATGTGTTCACTCCAAACTTGTGTTAACTCCAAACATGTGTTCACTCCAGACATGTGTTCACTCCAGACATGTGTTCACTCCAGACATGTGTTCACTCCAGACATGTGTTCACTCCAGACATGTGTTCACTCTAAACATGCGGCCACACCTGCTCAGGTGTACCAGGGCAGGTGTGGCCTCAGGTGTGGCCTCAGGTGTGGCCTCAGGGCAGGTGTGGCCTCAGGTGTGGCCTCAGGTGTGGCCTCAGGTGTGGCCTCAGGGCAGGTGTGGCCTCAGGTGTGGCCTCGGGTGTGGCCTCAGGGCAGGTGTGGCCTCAGGTGTGGCCTCAGGTGTGGCCTCAGGGCAGGTGTGGCCTCAGGTGTGGCCTCAGGTGTGGCCTCAGGGCAGGTGTTCACTCCAACAGCAGGAGCACAGACTTAGAGGAAAAGACAAAACCTTCACTTTTATCTGGTTTTTTGTTAGTATTTTTAGACACACACGGACACACACACACAGATACAGACACACACAGATACACACACACAGACATACAGATACAGACACAGACACACAGATAGACACACACAGATACACACACACAGACACACGGACACACACACACACAGATAGACACACACAGATACAGACTAATACTGTTTATCTTAGATCTGGTTTCCAAGCTGCACTTAACTTTAACTTTAACCCCTATAACCCCCTTCTCCACCTGCTCCCTCCCTCCTCCTCCTCCCTCCACCTCTCCCTTCTCCACCTCCCTCCACCTGCTCCCTCCCTCCTCCTCCTCCCTCCACCTCTCCCTTCTCCACCTCCCTCCACCTGCTCCCTCCCTCCTCCCTCCACCTCTCCCTTCTCCACCTCCCTCCACCTCTCCCTTTTCCGCCTCCCTCTACCTCATCCCTCCCCCCCTCCCTTCTCCTCCCTCCTCCTTCCTCCTCCTCCCCCCCACCTTCTCCTCCCCCCTCCCTTCTCCTCCCCCCGCAGGCTGAGCTCCTCTGTCTTAGTTTTCCTGAATTTCATCCTGACTTTGTATAAGTGTTTGTTGTTCATGCTGACTGTGCTTTGTAACCCTGTGCTACCAATAAATCTGTGTTCTTCCACAGTCCCTGTGCTATCCCAATAAGTGTGTGTACCTGTGCTCCTCAGGTCATAAACCAGTCCAAAGCCCGCTTCAGCCCCAGCATCAGTATGATCAAGAAGTGCATCGAGGTCCTCATAGACAAACAGTACATTGAGAGGAGCCAGACCTCTGCGGACGAGTACAGCTACGTGGCATAGACCTGCTCCCTCCCCCGCCTCCCCCTCTCCACCTCCCCACCTCCCCCATGACCATCGGAATGACTGTCGCCAGCAGGACAGGGGCCTCAGCTCACGCCCAGAGGTGACGGAGGAGGAGGAGGAGGAGACTGAGGAGGAGACTGAGGAGACACTGTCGTCTACAGAGACCCAGACCGTGTTGTGTGTTTATTTCTTTGTTAAATGTACGCCACTTAAGAATAAAAACTATTGTAATAAAACTGGTAAACTGACTTCTCTACTTTGACACACTGCTGCTTCAAAGAAATAAACGCTTTTATGTACTCTGTCTCGTGTTCTTGTTCTTCTGCCCCCTGCTGGACAGTGTCACTCATTCTAAATAACATAAAGGTGTGTTCAGACCAAACGCGTTTTCTGCGGTAAAATCGCGTCTGACTTGCGTCTTCGGACGCTTGTGACAAATTGTGGCAGACGCTGTCACAGAGCATCTTGGAGGCGCGTCACACACGTCCAGGACACTAGAGGGCAGCGTTCTGGAGGCGCGTCAAGGAAGAGCGTTTTGGGGCAGGCCTGCTCTGTTCCAACCATGGATCTATTATAATAACTGGATAGGGTATTACTAGCTTGTAGCTGAATAACTCATGTGCTCAGGGGATTCTCTCGGTACTGCAGACTGAACCAGACTGAACCAGACTCAATTCACGTGGGCTACCCAGACATTTTCCCCATAGAACTCAATGCATATTAAAACAGCTCAACCTCAGCTGACAGAGAACCTGACAGAGAACCTACAGCTTTAATAAAGATAGGATTTTGTGGGGATTTTAGTGCCCCTTGTCATCCTGAACTTTTTTTCTTCTTAAATCCTTCGGTTTTGTTTAAATCCACACTTTAGTGCCACAAACTCTGCTCGTCTGGCTCTCGCTCTAACTCCCGCTCTGATGAACTGCTCTGATTGGTCAGAGCCGAGCCCCTCTGTGCACGTGCGTGAGACCCGGTGTGAGACCCACACACGCGTGTTTGGGGCAATGCATTATGGGAGATCATCCACTGCACAGAACCGGGAGGACCAGACGATGCCCAAATACAGGAGAGTTTCCCATAGATCTTTGAGAGTTTCCCATAGATCTTTGAGAGTTTCCCATAGACCTTTGAGAGTTTCCCATAGACCTTTGAGAGTTTCCCATAGACCTTTGAGAGTTTCCCATAGATCTTTGAGAGTTTCCCATAGACCTTTGAGAGTTTCTCATAGACCTTTGAGAGTTTCCCATAGACCTTTGAGAGTTTCTCATAGACCTTTGAGAGTTTCCCATAGACCTTTGAGAGTTTCCCATAGACCTTTGAGAGTTTCCCATAGATCTTTGAGAGTTTCCCATAGATCTTTGCGAGTTTCAGGCAACTTCCCCTAATCTTTCAGCCCCCATGCCGTCACAAAGCGCCACTGAGCACAACCATTCATTTACTGCACTGCATTGTACTTCACAGACGCTTGCATGGCATTATTCATATCATATCATTCATGAACTCCTTGTACAGTATCAGACAATGTGGGTGAAATCCTGTCTCCATGTAGACTGAGGATAGATCGGTCAGACCAGAGAGAGAGTGAGACCAGAGAGAGATCAGAGAGAGAGAGAGACCAGAGAGAGACCAGAGAGAGAGAGACCAGAGAGAGACCAGAGAGAGACCAGAGAGAGACCAGAGAGAGACCAGAGAGAGACCAGAGAGAGACCAGAGAGAGACCAGAGAGAGAGAGAGACCAGAGTGAGACCAGAGCAGGGCTGGACTGGCCATCGGGCGTACCGGGCAATGCCCGAAGGGCCGATGCCCATATTTGGGCCGGTCTGTCTGCCACATACAAAAAACATGTTTGTGAAAAGTGTAAATCCGTTGAAAAATGTTCGAGGGGATGCGCGCGTGTCCGCGGGGCACCTGCTGTATGTACTCGAACGGGATTCTACCACCTCAGCGGCCGCAGTGTTCCCGCATCCAGCGGCTCTGAGCTGGACGCAGGAACCGCTCACCGGGAACCGCTCACAACACAACACGGTGAGCGCGTAGCCGCAACGTGACCATGTACCCAAGACCATAAACGCGCACAGGACCATGCATGTCCTTTCGTAATTTGTGCACCCAATAAATACACCGCTGCAGGAAACAGTCCGCGTCTCCCCTCTCCTCTAAATTAAAGCTCGGGTACCTAAATTTTCCATTGCATTAAAAGTACATGTTTGAGCCCAAAAGTAAAATGTTGTGAACAGATTAAACAGATTTAGAGCCAGCTAATGGCTGACAATATGCATTTCAGAATTTTTTACCAATTCTCATCCCTGTAACAAACAATATTGTCTGTGCCCACCTCCCTCACTCTGAGACATGTTTATTACTCTGTTTAATGTAGACTATTGTACTTTATTTTATTGTTAAAACTGGAGCGATCCTGATCCTCTACAGTATTTGCTTCCACATACTGTATAAACCAGGGGTCGGCAACCTTTAGTGCTCCTAAAGTGCCAGGCGGCGTGTGCATTACAGACTGTGTGTGCGCATGGATCCCAAAGATAAAGAGAGTCGATAAGACTGGACTAAGAATGAGAATGAACATTTGCTTTCAGTCAATGAGGAAGGACTGCTTCATGTTTGCGATGTAATGAAAAGTTTTGTTGCAACAGGAGGAACAATGAAGCTTTAAACACGTTCACTGAAAGATTCATTCATCATAAAGTCAGAGAACATATTTTCAGACTTCAAAAACCTTCGCAAAGACGGTGAAAGAAACGGCCATTAAGGACATTCAGCGCCAGCAAACTTCAGCCTGTGATGGATATGAACAGACAGTGATGCAGGTGAACTCGGAGCCAAAAAGCAGATTTATTTACTGTATTTGTACAATTGCATGAAGGCAAAAAAATGGAAGTTAAACTTAAAGCAGAGTTGTCACGTGGTGCGTCATTCTCTCCAGGACACGCTGCAATGAAAATACACATTTGATAATCATGAATGGTTTTTATGTGTTTAGCCTTTACTTTGTCATTTAAATATTAGTCTAATATAGCTAATATAGCTAATGTAGCTAATACAGCTTCAGCCCCTGTTACCTTCATATAAGCCTTATACAACACTTTTTTTTTTGTCAAATAGGGCTCCTTGAACCTTTTGAGTTGCCTGGGCCGCTAAAAAGGAAAAAATGCCCGGGCCGTTTTTTTGTCCCAGTCCAGCCCTGGACCAGAGAGAGTGAGACCAGAGAGAGATCAGAGAGAGACCAGAGAGAGAGATCAGAGTGAGACCAGAGAGAGAGACCAGAGAGAGACCAGAGAGAGACCAGAGAGAGTGAGACCAGAGAGAGATCAGAGAGAGAGAGAGACCAGAGAGAGACAAGAGAGAGACAAGAGAGAGACCAGAGAGAGAGACCAGAGGGAGAGTGAGATCAGAGAGAGAGAGAGACCAGAGAGAGACCAGAGAGAGACCAGAGAGAGAGAGACCAGAGAGAGACCAGAGAGATACCAGAGAGAGACCAGAGAGAGACCAGAGAGAGACCAGAGAGAGAGACCAGAGTGAGACCAGAGAGAGATCAGAGAGAGACCAGAGAGAGAGATCAGAGAGAGACCAGAGAGAGACCAGAGAGAGTGAGACCATAGAGAGATCAGAGAGAGATCAGAGTGAGACCAGAGAGAGACCAGAGAGAGACCAGAGAGAGAGACAGAGAGAGACCAGAGAGGACCAGAGAGAGACCAGAGAGAGACCAGAGAGAGGACCAGAGAGAGACCAGAGTGAGAGACCAGAGAGAGATAGACCAGAGAGAGAGACAGAGAGAGCAGGAGACCAGAGAGAGACAAGAGAGAGGAGAGGAGAGAGAGAGACCAGAGAGAGAGAGACCAGAGAGAGACCAGAGAGAGACCAGAGAGAGAGACCAGAGTGAGACCAGAGAGAGTGAGACCAGAGAGAGATCAGAGAGAGACCAGAGAGAGAGATCAGAGTGAGACCAGAGAGAGAGACCAGAGTGAGACCAGAGAGAGATCAGAGTGAGAGACCAGAGAGAGACAAGAGAGAGACAAGAGAGAGACCAGAGAGAGAGACAAGAGAGAGACCAGAGAGAGAGAGACCAGAGAGAGAGTGCAGAGACCAGAGAGAGACCAGAGAGAGAGTGAGACCAGAGAGAGATCAGAGAGAGAGAGAGACCAGAGAGAGACCAGAGAGAGAGAGACCAGAGAGAGACCAGAGAGAGACCAGAGAGAGAGACCAGAGTGAGACCAGAGTGAGACCAGAGAGAGACCAGAGAGAGAGACCAGAGAGAGACCAGAGAGAGACCAGAGTGAGACCAGAGAGAGAGAGACCAGAGTGAGACCAGAGAGAGACCAGAGAGAGACCAGAGAGAGACCAGAGAGAGACCAGAGAGAGAGACAAGAGAGAGACCAGAGAGAGACCAGAGTGAGACCAGAGTGAGACCAGAGAGAGACCAGAGAGAGAGAGACTAGAGAGAGACCAGAGAGAGATCAGAGTGAGACCAGAGAGAGAGACCAGAGAGAGACCAGAGAGAGACCAGAGAGAGTGAGACCAGAGAGAGATCAGAGAGAGAGAGAGACCAGAGAGAGACAAGAGAGAGACAAGAGAGAGACCAGAGAGAGAGACCAGAGGGAGAGTGAGATCAGAGAGAGAGAGAGAGACCAGAGAGAGACCAGAGAGAGACCAGAGAGAGACCAGAGAGAGACCAGAGAGAGAGAGACCAGAGAGATACCAGAGAGAGACCAGAGAGAGACCAGAGAGAGACCAGAGAGAGAGACCAGAGTGAGACCAGAGAGAGATCAGAGAGAGACCAGAGAGAGAGATCAGAGAGAGACCAGAGAGAGACCAGAGAGAGTGAGACCATAGAGAGATCAGAGAGAGATCAGAGTGAGACCAGAGAGAGAGACCAGAGAGAGACCAGAGAGAGACCAGAGAGAGACCAGAGAGAGACCAGAGAGAGACCAGAGAGAGACCAGAGAGAGAGACCAGAGTGAGACCAGAGAGAGTGAGACCAGAGA